AAAGTGCACCGGCAAAAACTATCTTAGTACCATAAACTTCGACATTAGGAGTATACATACCGTCATTAAAACCCTCAAGCCAAATGCGAGTTCTGGTGCCGATGACATCCCTTCAATCGTTTATTAAATGTCAGGGCCGTACATACAGAAGCTACTACTCAAAATATACACATTATCTTTAGAGACAGGTACATATCCGGAAACCTGGAAGGTAACGTATGTTCTTCCCAAACACAAATCCGGACCGAGAAACCTGGTTGAAAACTACAGACCTATAAATATCACTCCAGTCATATCACGCATAATGGAAAAAGTGATACAAAATCAACTATCTGATCACCTACTCAAGGAAGATCTAATAGACCCGTCACAACATGGCTTCATTAGAACAAGGTCGTGCAGTACATGCCTGATAGACTTCTTTAACGAGGTTACTCGTATACGTGACCAGAAGAAACTAGTTATTATACTATACTTCGATATTAAGAAAGCCTTTGATAAGGTACATCATAATCTTCTAATCAACAGACTGAAGTCAGTTGGAATTATAAATCCCTTTTTGCAATGGATCAAGTCTTTTCTTACGAATAGATATCAAATAACCAAGATTAACTCTATTACATCTACACCTCGACCAATAACCAGTGGTGTTGTGCAAGGTAGTGTTTTGGGTCCATTGCTCTTTATAATCTACATCAACATTATATGCAAGTGTTTTAGCACAGGTAAGACCTACCTCTATGCCGATGACTTAAAAGTCATCTATAAAACTGATATTTGCGATTTACGCAGTACTATGCAAACAGTTCAACATGAACTCACCATGGTAGATGACTGGTGCAAACACTGGAGGTTAGAGCTCAACATAGAGAAATGCGGCTGGTTATGTATAGGAGACACTTCTCTTAAAATGAAACGAACGCTTAGCAATCACACAATGCCCAGACTGGCATCAGTAACTGACCTAGGGGTACATTACTCACACAGTCTTAATATCTCTGAACATATCTCAGCCAAAGCATCCAAAATGCGGAAATTGCTTGGCTTCATTCTCCGTAATTTCTATCAAAATGAATCTAAAATCCTTCTTTACAAAGTTTGTGTAAGACCTATCGTTGAATACTGCTCGTTCTTATTTTCCAACCTACGTCTATCTGATATACTAAAGGTGGAAGGAATACAACGAGGCTTCACCCACAAAGTACTTAAGACTGACTCGGTCATTGACTACAGTTCTCGATGCCAAATCTTAGGAATAGCACCCCTTTGGGAGAGAAGGCTTAGGTCTAATTTGATTCTCTACTTCAAACTATTCAAAAATCTTACTTACTCAACATGTCAGATAATTCTTGCCCGAGATTCACATGAATACGGACTTCGAAACAAAGTATCTACGGTCAAAGTTGAGAAATACAGATCAAAAACTCGGGAAAATTTCTTCCTCACCAAGTATGCAATAATATGGAACAGTCTTCCCTCCGAGACTCGCATGGCAGATGAACTACATACGTTTGTGAAACTGCTTGATCAAGCCCTCACTCGCACTGATCTTGCACGTACGAACACATGTGCGCCCCACTCAGACATCATAGGCTCCCTCCATGTCTAGACCAAAATGGACTTCAAGTTCAGTTTGTCTTATTTTTCCTACTTTGCAGTTGTATTAATTACTTTTTCCACCCTATTTCTTCACTTGAAGTAGACAGGTAACTCACTGGACCTATCAATACTGTTAAACTAAACTCGGTCGATAAGGGACACTCACTACCACCCTAAAAAGTCAAGAGGACCGCACAATCGGCTGCTTACAACCAGTGGTCTTGTATCTATGGAACCTGTTACCAATCAACTGGTTAAGACAACAGAAAATAACATCAGCACCAAGTTACTGTGAGTTCCTTCCTGTTTATCCTGTATTAACTTTTTACTCTCCTGTACACAATGTTGACTAGCAATTAATACTATTTCTCCACTCGTCCCCTTATCCACAACTCATATACTTCTATACTTTTTCCGCCTGCTAAATAAACAACTATCCTACAATATACCCTTCTTAACGCTTATACTCTGATTGGCAAACTATACTTTATACTATAGTCAACAGAGGCACTGCATCGATGCTTTAACCACAGTCCATAGCTTGTAACTGCCTGATAAGCTTGTAAAATGGTACTTATAGAAATAGTGCTTTCCAACATGGTGTGAAACAGAGGATTGTGTGAGGTATGACGTATATACAAAAATAAGCCTAAATGAGCCTAACATCACAAAAGGAGGGAGGGTGGAGTTACTGACCAGCAAGCATTGATGGTGAGGGCGATAACTTCAATCCACCCGTGTTTGTGGGGACAGAACATCTTGTATGTATCAGGCTCTTTATAATTGAGAGTAAGACAGTCAATCTGAGATATAGATTGTCTTCCTACGCTCACCACTCAGACTCATGTTTCCAATATTATGCTGGATTAGCTATTCTACTAAGACAACCTATAGTATGCTAACTCGGACTTTTACACTAGGATTGCGTGGCTGACATCGGATGGACAAAAAAAGAAAAGAAAAAAGAAAAGAAAAGATATACTCACTAGTATTCTTAACACTTCACCCTCTATATACACACCCTTCTAATAAACCGCTTCCCTTGTACCAACCTTGACTTCCCTTCCTTCATGTGAGCTTACTCCAACTTGTTAAACATCACAACTCATTGTTCTTTATTAGTAAATTCTCTAATATGGAGCCTCTGACTTCACTTCACTCTAACAAGACATTATATGAATTTATTCTAATTTATTATACCTCTGTCCGTTCTACTACACAATGTTAAGCAACCTTTGGCGTTCATATCCAAGTGCCTTGATGCTCTTCTGTTTCTCTCTTTTTCCCCTTCAGAATCTTGCTCTGAGAGCACAGCTATGAAACTTCTGACGTTTGGAGCAAACTTGACGTACGCGTCCTCTCAAGGTCATAGTTTACAGCAAGCGCTCTACGATTTCACTTTATAACAACTATAAACTTAATAAGTTGGGAAGCATTTTGCGAACCAACAAATGTTGTAATTTATAGATCATGCCTGTAAAAACGGTGTGTACCTGCACATGCAGAAATATGTTATTATTATTATTAAATAAGTTAATAAAGGATACAAATTAATTACCGATATCAATGAAAAAACATCATTCTATCCTTTCTGGATAGTTCACAAATTGATTGTCCTAAATGCAGTTTATGCTTAGTAAAATTATTAATAACAAAGGTATCAAGAGTTACTTGTAGCAACACTGGACGTTTCCAAATCTGGAAGTATACTTAAATTTATAATTTTAAAAAATCCACAGAGTCAATAAAAATTCAGGCAACCAACTCAACGAATCACTGTAGTGGCCGCAAAAACAAATATTTTAAGTGGATCAACATAAATGAAATCCATTAGAATGATAAAAATTGAGTAAAAACGTCAGAAAACAAAAAGTAAATAAAGAACTCAATGGAATTCACAGCAGTAGCGATCCAGAAGTATATGTTGTAAAAGTATGTACGTGGAAAGATTCACAATCACAGTCAGAAGCAATATTCTATAACGATGATAAGACCTACAGGTTCATATGGAAAGAAAAGTATTCACTTGAGCTTCAAAAATTTCTCACAACATTAGAGGGGTGGTCAGTAGACAGTTAGTTAAAACTTAACCTACCAATATGTCATAACATGGGCGTTCCCATCCTATGAGACACAAACGACCTACGTCCTTTGTGAAAATTCCCTCCCAATAATCTCCTCGGAGCACGATCTAGAAGCGTAAACTGTGGACAGCTTGAAAGCCAGATCAAACCACATTATGGATACAGTCAAGGCAAACGCAACTCTCCACTTTATACGAGGATGGATTGCCACCACTACTCTGGAACGGTTTCTAACACTTTAAAATGCACCCACGACACCTCGAAACATGCGACTTTGCTGCACTGTCTCTCTTCAAAATCGACACAAACCCCTTGGACAGAGCACAGAGACGCGAAATGGGCGAGTGATGAAACTGAGAAACAAATCTTACGAAGATAGATCCGGACACTTGAGATTATTATCTCCGAGTCATCGGAGAACAAGAGGTGACCTGATAATAACAGAAAGCATACTAAGCGCATCAAGTCACCGTAGCACAAAATTCTTACCAGAACATCACCACCAGGATCTGAGAAATAACTCCCGTAAAATTACACATCTAAGGGCGTAGACTCATGAGCGTTCTCACTTTTTTCGGATTAAGTGTTATATGTTTTAAGAGTATCCTTCCATCTGAAGTGGCCAAAGCCTCCTCAGTAGATAGATTTGATAAACATAATCTGACTCATGGGTTGCCATCACCCTCTTCAACCACTTATGTCTGGTGCATCTGATAAAACGCCTGTTGTAATCATCGTAGGTAGTAACTATTTTCTGTCATGCTTATTACGATCATGTCCTTTTTTATTTTAATATCCGGCTTTTCACAGTCTGCATTTTCAATTAGTTAACTTATTTATTTGTTTATTGAAGCAGTCGTCTAATTTCTGCACTACAATTTTAAATTTATTAATTTGCTGATTGCAACCAACCAACTTTCTATCTGATAATGTGATTACAGAGGATTTCAGAAATCCTGTTGCACTGACATAAACACACTTAGACTGCATGATATACAAACCAACAAGTCTCTACAAACTGTTAACCAAGTGGCTGGACCACCAATGGTCGGGAATCGCCAAATATCTGGAACCGTAATGAAGCAACAAGTAGCAAGTACAATGAAATCAGACTTAACAAGCTCATTTTCGACCAGTTCGACGGAAGAACTTTCATCCTCTTTGATCGTTAAATATACCGAGGTTCTTACCTGGAGACCTTGGCGATCCACTGCTACTAGATACGGAAGCCTGTTAATCGAAATATTTTTCTATTCCATCCAGAACCATTTGAAACCATTTTGAGCTCATGACGAAAATATTGGATATTGGATGCTTGTATAGGATTCGAAATTGCTGAAGGTCGTTGGTTTCTTTAAGAGGTCCCTCATTAGTTGGGGATAATGGTTTCCAGCTAGCGTCTTTTACTATGGGGAATGCTCATGCCTTACAGAAACATCAGCTTTCAAATGTTGGGAGTGGAATGACGAGTTTCGTAGGCATGAAAGATTTTGAAAGTCGTTGGAAATCCTTCATGAATTCACTTGATTTGTCAGCCGAACATATAAAACAAATTGAATTGTTAGATGAAGAAAAGAAGGCAGAGCTACTGTCAAACTATGTACCGAAGAAGTTATTTGCATATTTTTTCCCAGGAATTAAAAAACCCTAGGTGTTCTGCTTTTCACTATGTTGCGCTTTTAAAAGCTAGTCGGATTGAATTCATTTGGGTTCGTTCAGTGCTTCCCCAACTAACTTTTGTAGAAAAAGAAAGTCGACGGTTCAGCATTTCGTTCTCTACTATCGTCAGTAGAGATTTCTCTTCGTACCAACAATGTTGAGTAATTTAGTTCAATATATTCGAATTCTAGATGGGTTTATGACTTTTTAGATCTCGAGGGCCTTGAGGCACTAGCCGATCTAATGTTACAATGTATGCATTTTCTACCAGGGTTAGTCGTCCGGTATGATGGGTTATTTCCTTCAGACAGGACACGACATTCGGCCCACGAATATTTTGTGGGAGTAAATCCTCAGACGAAACTTACCGGGATCGTTACGAAATATCTTGCTATGCAGAAGTTCCTAACTTCATCCGTAATAGTAGCATAAAGTCAACCCAGTTTTCACCAAGTAATAAGAATTAACTCGTTTTCACAATTCATGTGGTGATTTAGACAATGCATTTTTACCCAAATCCATTATTCACAGTAGCTGTTCACCAAAAGGTTCTCTACTCACTGTATCGTTCTTAGACTTTCTCGAGGATTGCTTACATCTGTCTCTCCGTTCACTTAAGGCCATATTGAATAATCAGGTTGGTTCTTCTGCTACTCATTATTATTAGTCTTTTTAGAGAGGGTGTAGAAGAGCTATGGAGCATGCACTTGTCATTAATCTAGTAACATTTTGTCTTCTGCATCCTAATTATTCGTAAGTACCACAATTAAATGTCGACTTGTAACTTAGTTTTACATATTTTCGCCCCAATGTAACGTTATATCGCGTTAGTGACGTAGGTCAAAGTATAAAATAAAATTCGGCCCACTCTCTTTAACAGTACTAATATTTCGGGAAGCTGTATCCAGTGCGATTTGGTGTCTGTTTTCTCTCATAGGTTGAGTATGTACACTTTTCTGGCTCAAAATAGCCGAGGCAAACTTAGTGCAGTCATGCATATGTTAGCTCAGATATTCTAGGTTCTGGTTGAACGTTATTGTTGTCAGTGTAGTAGTGTATTTTGGATCATTCATTTTTACGTGAAGTTCCTTTTCATGATTTGATCATTACGATGACAGAATAATGGAACTGCATTCGCTCTGACTATGGACTAAGAAAAGTGTGATCCCTATTACGCCTCACATTAGCTCCAGATGGATGTTATCGTTTTATGATCAAGTTATAGTACCTCGATTGTGTTGTTGAAGCCGACTAGCATAACTTAAAACATCATGTGAATCCTCCGATGCTTTTTTCTACTCACTAAGTAAAAAGTGGAATTGCGCGGAGAAAAATCCGTTTAGAATTTGTATCGTAATATACACTACTATTAAACCTTACGGCTAAGTTGTGCACACTTCCATTATTGGTGTCGACTTTAAGCCTTACTTCTTATGGTTTCCAGCCTTTTATTTAACAGCCTACAAATTAGTTACACAGCTTGTGGTGATAGTTGGTGACTGTAAGAATTATTACTTATCCTGGTTTTCTGCTTTGTACTCTGACAAGCGCTGCTTGTCTTAGGGGATGACTTAGCGTAAATAACACATGTCGGGATCTCTACGGACAATATTGACGTATGATTTCATCGATTGTTTTACTTCTTATTAACACTACTCCTAACTTTGTTTGGTGCTTAGTGATTCTCACATCTAGTAGGTGTGCTGTAAATGAGGTCTTTAAAACATGTCATATTGCTTCCTACACTGCTATGCTGTGTTAAATAAAAATTTCTCTGGCGCTAATAAAGGTATGTGATCGCAAATCGTAACTGGGTCTCATTCATTAAAATCAAGATTGTTATAATCTTAATAGTCCATTTTTCGCTTAATGGATGCGAGATTTCGAGCACAATTTATTCCATATAAGTTAGCGTAGACATGGGTTCTAAAGTATTTTAAAAGTTGAAGGTGTAGTTCATTGTATTCAGAGTATCAAGGAAACAGTATTTTGGTAGATTATGATGTTTATGTATTCTGGGAATCACAAGATTTTTATGTGTTGTATGCATTTTCCATTTACACGCTATCCAGAATACTGTTTCTGGTGAATCAGCAAAATGCTAAATATTGATCGTAGATTTTTAATCAAACGCATTTTAATTGATAGTGTGTCGTTTCGAGATTATTCATCTAGATTGCTGTAATTAGTCTATCATCCTAGGACCAATACTCGAATCTCCCTAAAATTCATTTCTGATAGTTAATTTACTACGTGATAAAGTAAATGAATTAGTAACCTCTTATCGAGTCATTTATACGCGTTCGCCTAAATTCTAATGAACTCAATAAATTGGAACCAGCTGTAACTTTATTCTTGGAAATATTTTTCTGTAGAACAAAAACGCTAGCACTAGATATGCTTACTGCATTGTGTCTGATTGAAGGTGGTCACGTGAAAGTCTTGCAATCCTTCGATAGGTTACGCGTTGTGATGGGTGAAGGATTGAGATTTGAGCTTCTTTTAGCGGCATTCAGATACCACGAGTCGCTTGATGAAGAAAGCTACAATCTAGATTTTGCAGTGAGTTTTCCTATTTTATTTCTCATGATCTTTGAGTAATTAATTGTTAATGTATTGTCACAAAAACAGCTGGATAAGATTTACTCCTCAAGAAGTATCTATAAATGTTGAATGCATGTCTGGGTAGGTGTAGTTCAGTAGCTTCAAGACTCAAATCTTCAAGTCAACATTCCGAATCCTCTTCAACTACAGGAGGCGGTTGGGTTGACATTCTTAGGCAAACACGTGTATTCTGTGTCACCACATAGTCGGAAGATTTATTTAGTTGGGACACATTAAGTTTTACATTCACATTAACTAATTTCATTATTTGAACTAATTAGTCATATTAGAATAAGTTTGGTATACTTGTAAAAGCTAGAAATTTCCTCAGAACAGAACCAACTAGTTCCTATTGGAATATTATAGATTCATCGATGATGCGACTGACTACAGTTGATAATCGGCACTAATCAGTAAAATGATCCAAGGTGTTTCTATGGATTTAAATCTTTGATTCTAGTAATTTATGACCCTATCAAGTATCGCGTGACAAAATTATCAGTTAGACTTCTGTGACATTGTCTTTGTGCTAAACCAATGACACGCCAACCAGTACTATCGGTCTTGAGTCAATTCTGAATCTTTATTAGTCATCAACATAGTAGCTTCTCGCCTACCATTGCCCGTTGAGTCCGGGACACAATATCCTCCTCCACTGTGTGGATAATATATTTCAGACATACGTAGTCTATATACAACCAGACCAGACAGCATCACATCATAAAGTGAAAAATAAGTTATACAAGATCAAGCCAAAAGTGGCTGTGAATATAGGAGACTGTAACTAATAGCTCGGGAATAAATTAAGAATAGTAAGTCGTTTCATGTTACTTTATGGGTCAAATGAAAGCTTGTGATAAACGGAATATGAATGTATATATAACCTGGTTATTTGATAGTTATATGATAGGAATATACATATAATAATCCATAAATAATTCCCGAAGTTACCATTCATTTAATCTTTGGATACAATACTGATAATCACCAATAACTGGTGAATAACATGTAGTTACTTTGATTTACTGGCGCAGTGCATTATATTAATATGTAGAGTGATGAACACTTAGATCACAATTCAGAGAGAACACTAATACTTACTGCTAATAAAAATATCTAGTTGATGATTATTTATTGAAAACGTCTGCCTTATGTTCATATAATAACTACTGAATACTACTGGCTTTATCTTATATCTATACTTTAGAAAAATATCTTCTAATTAAGCTCTTGAAACTGTTGGTTAAAAGGAGTGGCTTTTGTGCTTTAAAAATATAACATCTTGTTGACCATAAATGAGGGTTCCCTATCATGTCCATTTCTTAAACAAATTATCATCTTAACGCATTTATTCGAAACTGTGAGATATGAGGACCGGTTAAAAACTTTCGTTACGACTTATTAACTGGATTTATTTTTATTTATTTATTTGAGCACAAACATTAGTACAAAATGGCACCAATTACATATGCGCCACATAATAACAATGAGGCCCGTAGGAGTTATCATTGTTTAGAATAAGGGCTGTGGTACTACTCGGGCGCCCAAACCAAAGCAGATGGTTTTCTTAGGGGACCACATCCGGAGCCATTCGACCTGAAAGTCTGATCCACAAGGCAGTGGGACAACGTCAGCAGATGCGGTCACGTGGTAACCAGTGGCCAACAATAGGTTCATACGCCGTTTGCTCCTTTAAAATCCTGGAGCCCATGTGCACCATTGATTTGGAATTAGGGTTTTCCGACTCCCATGGGTGGATCCTCCATATCGACCGACCCGATGAAACCACCGGACATTCGCTTTTCTTTCTCAATTTCGTAAACAACACCAGTGCCGCGAAAAGGCAGTGAGTAAGACTTTCTTGTTAATGGTTAAATACGCGTGGCCATGTAAGAGTATTTCGAGAGGGAAAGCAGACTCTCTTTGCCCTCGATCGTACCAGGGCATTTGGGGGCCCTGAATAGTTCATACGGGTTTATGGTTTATTTGGAATTTTTTCCCAGGACAGTATGTAGCTTTTGAATGTTTCATTGGCTTTCTCATGTTGACTGTTAAAACTTTAATACTTTGGAAGTATGAATTCATGAGCTTATATTTTAAATATTCAATTTTTGAAGGTAACATGCGTGCAATTTCTCAATATTATTGTTCATTCACCAGAGAATATAAATTTACGAGTATATTTACAATATGAACTCCACTTACTTGGATTTGATGATTTGTTAAAAGTAAGTTATATGTTTACTCAACAAATAAATTCTCTCCATTACATTTCCCATAATAAAGAAGATTTTAACTTAGTTTTAAGACTTGGTTCTATAACATTTAAAAAACCGTTCTCACATACATTATTAAAAGTTAATAATCAGTCACTTGCGTGACTTACAACAAATTCATACTATGTTAAGTCCCTCTTCTAGTGAATATTTCAAAGACCCTAATAATATTCACTCAACCTTTGGTAATAGTGACTATAGTAATATTCATGGGGCTTAATTTCTATAAGTGATGAATTAATAGATCTACTATTTATACTACAGTGTCCTCTCATAAAGGTTAATAAATCAAATATTCCCACAAATATAGTTGATTGGCGTCCCTCAACTTACAGTATTGATGGTGTTTGTGTCTAATAATAATAATAATAATAATAATAATAATAATAATAATAATAATAATAATTAATTATATATTATTATTATTATTATTATTATTATTATTATTATTATTATTATTATTATTATATAAAAGAATTGTATTCTGAATGCAAGTAATGAACAATGTAATTAATTTCATATAAAGTATTATATAATACTTTACCTCAATGTTATTAAATCTATAACATTTTGGTCATTTTTCGTAATTTATTCACCTTTTTTTATAGCAAATTCGTGATCGTTCTGGGTCACGATTAAAAGTTCAAATTGAAGCCTATTTAGATAATCGTGTAGATTGTTCATTACTACTGGAAGATGCTGAAGCTAAGGAGGCAGCTGTTCTGGAACAAGAACGTTTGGAAAAGCGATTGGAATCAGAAATGGCTATAGCTAGAAAATCTGAAGAGAATTTTAAGGTATGATTGTTTCTCGTTTATTCTTCCTAAGTTATTGGTCTTGTTTTATGTGATCAATTAAAATGTCCGTTTAAAACGTCACATATTTACCTCGATCCCGATAAATCTGACTGAACGCTTGAATCGGTTTCCTTAGCTCTTCTAATAACCCCAGGCCAAATCTATACGACAACTTGAACACAGGAGAAAAGGAGCAAAATATGGAAAGAACGTTTTACTACAAGGTTCTGGAACGCTACTAAACATAGTAGCAGAACAGGCAATCATCCATTCCGAAGTGTGACACGTGACTCTTTACTTTCTAGATGATTCTAAGAAACTTCTATTCAGTGCTGATTGGACAAGGATTTTCCTAACGTTTTCAGGGCCGCTGTGGACTTTTTTTGAGGAATATTCTGTCTCTTCCCAACAGATCTATTGTTGTATTTGAGCATCGTGTTTGACTTTTGCGTATTTTTAAAGTTAATTCCACAAACTTGATACAATAAGTGGTATGACAAGTGTATCATAAAAAACACTACATATTCACCACATATGCTCAATCTGTGTTAAGGTGCTTGAAAGAAAGTATCACAAGCCTTGTATTTCGCTTTGTACTAGTTGATGCTCATCAATAAAGGGGATCTGCCTGCTGCTATGCTAGGTAATATGAAGTAGGTCAGAGAAAAGTTGGTAGGGATCGTGTTACAGTCCATAAACTCACTAACTATCAAACTTTAATCTTGTTAAGAGATGCGGTCATCCTGGCTGATTTCTCTGTGATCCTTTGGTGCACAGTTTAGGTATTATGGGTTTAAACCAGCCAAAAACATGCAAAAATACCTATTCCTTATCTTCCTCCAGGTTTTAAGTTTTAATTTTGTTTTATAATTCATTCCATGATTTCACTCACTTATATTTAGCTAATATTCCAAATTATGACGTACTTTCACCGACATTAATATTATCATTTAAACTCATTTGGTTTTCGTTTGGCTAATTTCCTGTCCTCATTTAATTGAATTGAAATTAACTTGAGCTAATTAGTACTTTCGCCAGGTTTCATATTGTCTATTACTAACCGAAGAAATTGTTGCTTCATTTGATATCTATTGGAATGCTATCTTATGACCGTACGAGCACTCCATGTACCTAAATAGTTGCTCTGGTTGTCAGAAGGGTCATCAGCCTCGTGAATTCCGAAGGAACTTGGCTTTCATCATGAGGCGTCATAACTCTTCTAAATGAAGACATTCTGACTCCCAGGGCAGGGTTTAAATGGTTTGAATAATTTTTTTCCGGTTAGCGTTTTATAGCGAATTAGTTTTCTACGAGATGGGTTCGCTAACCCCATGCCAAACCCTCCTCCTTTATTCGGGCCTAGGACTGGCAGTAGCCCCAGAGGGGCTTCAGTTGGAGTTATATTATGGCTGAGCTCAAACTATATTTTATTAAAGATGTCTTCTCCGCGGTCTTGTTTCTGACAGGATAGAATGACAAAGTGGATATTCTTCTACTGTAACCAAGTTAAAAACATAGATTCATCTAGAAAAGTAGCAAACTCTAATTTTCAGTTGTTAAGTGTACATAAAGTTTAATATTCTTCAGGTACAAATAAAATATCACTGTTTTCTGTTTAGCTGATTGTCATGAACAACTAACCCTTAACATTATCTTACTGTCTAGGGAATTAGAATTTTTACATTAATAACTTACATAACAGGTTTCTTAATCTGAATACCTGTAAAAGCTGACTTTATTGAAGTCTTCACATAAATCTGCTTCTTTAACACAATAGATGCAAAACTTGTTGTGATTATTAAGATAATGTAAACATTTCTTCTTTTGTTAAGTGATAGCGTTTGGATTAAGCAATTGTAAAATTTCATGACACTTGAATGCCACTATATACATATATGTTATAAGTTAACCAAAATAATGTAATTGCCTAAAATTGACTTGATGATATATTAGGGTAGATAATATCTTAGTACTGTGTGAAGACAAACTATTTCACTGATTCTTAATTGAATACAATGATTAATGTACTTAATTTGTAACTCTAAAAACAAGATTTATGGAGTCTCATTTTGGGTGTAAATACGTACAAGAACAATTTATAATTTGTTTCTTCCCGTATAATTTAACATAATATTATACACCTATAATTGTGTGAACCATATCGGTAGTGTTTTCATGGACAGGTTTTAAGCTTCAAGGCAAAATTTACATTTATTAGTGATTGATTGTGTGCACATACTTGTATTAGCCTTCATATGCCAATTACAATTGTTAAGCCATAATTGTAAATATTTGGCTTTGTCCATCATACAGTTGTTGTCTCTGATTTAATGTCCTTCTCATAGTATAGTTTTTTATTTCGGCAAAGTAACATAATCTCTATACTTTCATTAAGTATCTCATGTACATTGATTAGTTCTAATGATTATTTTTCTGTGTGCCATACCACTGGGTTTTTTTGTTAATTAGCTTTAATTTCGTTGGTTCTAATTATTCTCTTTTGTAGTTGATAGGTTATAATTTTGATAGGTTCTGAATTTAAGTTCTATTGGGACAATACAGCTACTCAATTAGATAGATATAACGAAATTCAGACTTGATTGGAAAAACGTTTATCTTAAATCTCAATGTTAACAACAGATAATTAGTATTAAGTTATTAATAAAAATAGAAAACCGATCATGAAATATCTATTCAATCTTTGTACACGCCTACACGGTACTGATTTGTTTATATGATTCTCATCAACAATAAAAAAGTCAATTTGTTTTACTTATCATGGTCAGAGATCTGACTACAAAATCATCGGACGATGATGATCGTATGATGGCAATAACGAAACAAATATCCCAACTTCCCCTGTGTAAATTTATCGACTTAATTCTCGTTAGTGAATAACGAAATAAGTCAAATACGAGATTTTATTTTGGATGCATTTATTTCATACACCCGTTACCACAGACGGATAATAACAGAAATGAAGCAATGAAGACAAGCGTGCCAACTCGATTTGATAAAGCGTGACCCACTGTTTATAATCAGGCAGGAAAATAGGTTAAAGACATGTAATGAATAGAGTGTATGATACGCACACATACGCTCATATAGAAATAGTCAAGCTTATAAGGGTATAACTGACAAGTTCAAAATAGGTGTGGACACCGACTCAGAAGGAATAAATTAGTTGCTGTGTCCAAAAGCTAGAATCAGCGACGTAGGTGTGACACAGAACTGTATACTACACGCCCCCTAACGATCAGTTCGTGAGTTTTACCGCATAAATTAATATCATGTAAATCAAATCATTGGCAACAAGTGAAAACTGAACAGTTATCAGTTTGTAATTTAGATCCTTTCAGTATTGTAAGTTTACAGAATTAAACCCATTACCTAAGCAAACAATATTTATTCCCTCGTTAATGACTGGTTTCAAAATGAATTCTTGAAGAATTTTCATGATAAATCGCGATTAATTGATTGCTATCTTGTTGCAAAGGAATTAAATATCACCGATAAGATTTGGATGATGATCTAATATTGCTAATCGACTAAAGTTGGAAACTAAATTAAAATAATCTTTGTGAATCGTTCGTAATTTCGATTAACGATCACAAATAACCTTATCGATACTGATGAATATTGTATATTAAATACATGGAGAGAGATATTTATCTACCCATTAATGTGTGTTTCGATATGGTAGAATATATGATATATGATATGACTTCATTAAGGACAATATTTTTACATGTTTTTAAATAATTCATCTTATTTTTTTTAAATCACTATTCACGATAAACAAAGCGTTGTTTAATTTAATAAATGTACGAAGATTATAGAGAATTGGATGTGAATATATGTTTTCTGATAGGTTTACAGTGTTGTTTAGTGTAGATGATATTAATGAAATTCCAGGGCAAAGTCTAAATGAGAAAAAGGCCATCTAGGACACGTAGGTTACAAGTAATGGATTAGTGTTCATAGAATCTGACTTCCAATCTACCGCATATGTTATGGCCTACCAAAGATTCACAAACATGATGTCCCACTCAGGCTTATTTTGTCAACGATTAATTCATATAACCACAAAGTTGCACGCTGGCCAGCAGAAAAGTTAGATTCCCTTCATAACTGCTTAGCTACTTGTACGCTAAAAAACTTTCTACTTTGCTGAGTTTCAATCACATGAATGTTGGCGGTAAGTCAGTGGTTTATTTTGACTTAACATTCCTGTTTAACAAATACCGTGTTTTGAAACAGACACAATTTGAAAGCATTCTGACCCCCTACCTCTACCAGTATCAGAACTCAAACGACTGCTAATTGTATATACCAAAGATGTTCAGTTTCAGCTAAATAACATCATATACCATTAAACTTATGGTTTAACAATGAGAAGCCCACTTAGTTCCTGCCCTGGCAGATATATTCATGGCTAATCTCGAAAAGATCAAGATTGAAGGGATGAATGACAAAATTGGTGTATTATGCGAGGTATTTTGACGATACTTGCTGCATGTAAGGATCAACAACCAGCAAACCACCTGCTAAACCTTTCAACGGCGCCCATAAAAACATTCAGTTTACTATGGAACATGAAAAGGATGATAAGTTTCACTTCCTCAATATCGTCATACAACTCAGGGAGGATGGTGGTACGATTCAACATTCAGTTTACGGAAAAGATAGATGGAATTGTGTTTATCAGAATTTTAATAGTTTTTTTCCAGTTATTTGCAAATAGGCACTTATCAAAATTCCATTTCACAGGACTGAAATATGTACTACCAATAGACTAGAGGCAAGTTTAATTAACTATAAAAAATGACTGCGGAACAACGAGTATCCGGAGAAATTTGTCGAGAAATATGGGAAAAGTAAAAAAATCGCTTAAACGTGCTACATTGGATAGGAAACCTATTATCATTCAACTTGGATTCAGAGTTAACGAAAATAAACAGTACAACATGTAAAAAAGTTCAAGTTATCAAAATCTCCCAAGATGGTAGCGCCTTTTAATCTTTATCACCATTATCAACACATGGTGACAGACACCTGCCTTACATAATGTTCCTTCTGGGTGCTAGCTTTTCTTTTATCCCAATGATGGTTAAACGTAGATAGTCGATGAACCTTTTTTCAGTCGGATAGTGTAGGATTCACAGGGCGAAACTGATCATAAGGAGTGAATTAATGAAGCGCATCGAAACTTCATTTACCCTGGAAGTATCACCAGTCGTTTTGGATTGACATTTAATGAAGTCTCAGCACACATTCAGTAGCTAGCCTAACTTTTGTTAACTTGCATCATTTGTCGCATATAGGGAGATGTCCATCGACGAACGAAGGGGAAATACAGTGCGCATAAATTTCGTCTGTTTTATTCTGTAGGTGTAAAATGTGGTCTATAAAAGAAGACATACTTTAGCTCCAAATATTTCATCATAGATGTCTCGGAAACATTGTTCGCGTTTAGTAGATTGACCAAGTAAACAATGGTGAGGTTAGGGGGACGGTGTTCTGGTAAAGGTGAACAATTGATTGATAAGACTGTGAATCTTCACTGATTAAAGTATCATAGAAATGTATTAAGTATGTTCAACTACCCCCTACTCCGACAGGAATTGTTAACATGAGTACGAATAATTTGAAAGAAACAGTTAGTAGGCTATACCAAAGCATTCCACTAGTCTATCATTTCACTGACATTTAGTGTTAATCATGTTCGTAGATTGGTGGGTTGTGATCCATATGATACCCGTGACCAATGATCACAGATGCTGAGTGATATAACTTAGCAAAAACAGAGATTGAATGGAACTGTTTTATGGTGGTTGATACTTTGGCCTTGTTTTTTTAAAAGGTATTTTATACTTTTTATTATCATAATCAATGCTTATATTAGATGATATAGTGCCAAATGACTGACTGACTGATTCTTCCATCTTATCATTTCTTGTTTTTTACCAACATCCTTGATCATTAGATTTCTGTTAATTCTTAGTATTATTTCTTCTCTTACTCTTATGATCTCGTCATTTTACTCTCTCATTGTATTGATTGATGTGAGTTGTGATAACTGGGATTGATATATATTTATACCTAAACCTCTGTGCTAATTATTACGAAAAAAGATGGATTAAATATGTATACATTACTCCTCATCTCTAGAGCTCTAGTAATACGTATATGATAACCATGCTCTCTGGATTTCTTTCCATCTAACAGTGAAAAATCATATTTAGTTATCAATTCTACATGTTTTTGAGTAAAATAGCAGGAAAAATGCTGTTTTGTTGTTGTTGACCCAAGCACTCTTTCCACTGCTGTATGTTCATGGTTTTTTATACATTTAAATCATATTCTGTGAGAAACTTTGCTCTAGAAACGGGTCACACTGCTCTCACTTTTCCAAAGGAATCGTTAGAATAAAATATGTATAATATTGGTGAAACAGTTCCTGATTCGACTCGTTCATGCAGCTCTGATTTACGATTCCGGTCTGCGTAACTTTAACACTTTTCATGTGTTTGACCAAATGTTGTGGAATCTACCCATCATTTAGTGTATGAAAAAAAGATGGTTTTCGTTATCCAGTAATAAAAATAAATCTCTGTCATTGGTATGAAAAATCCCAGGTACTGAATAAAAATCACCTGTACATAATTTAGTTTCCCAATTTTCCAATCAAAAAGCAATGTCGATTCTTATTGATTATATATATATAATGTACAACCACCGAGTGGTTGCATTGTGTACTGATCATATAATGATACTCAGTTTTTGGAGAAAAACTAATGTGATTATTCGAAAAATTAAACAGTTGCTACATTGCATAATATACAAAGGAATTAATAAAATATTTTGATGAAAAATCAGTATTGTATTAGTTATGTAAGAATAAAGAGACGGTTGTTAAGACTATGTAAGCATACAAAAGCGAAAGAAATTAGAAAATTGTTTGAACATTTTCGAAACAAAGGGGGTAAAACTCACTCCTATGTAGATGGTCAATTTAAGAGGAATGGTTGTAAAATCTTCTTTTGGATTCAAAGGTTAGGTTTGTGAATATGCAGAAGACGAATCTGTAAACCATACAGTAAATTTGATGGGATATTTTTCATAACCTCAAAACATGTATTCAAGTCAACTCAGTTTTCCATGTCCACTAAGTGAGCGAGAAAAGAGCACTTGATCAATCTTACCTGTCCTTCGCTCAACCAAGATGGATGGTGTTCCGCTATGTGATAACAGACTTGCCGGATTGTACGCCTTATATAATTCTTTCCCCAAGAGCAGTTGAATTGATAAATATACATGAATGTGGCGAATTCAGGCAGACCGTCTTGATTGGTGGTTTTCACAATCGGGCTATCGTAGAAAATTCCATTCAGTTCGGCTGCAGCAAATGTTTTCATTAGTTTATTTTAATTCAGTAAAATCCGAAATCTTAAATGCTAATAACTTTCTGTTGTTGAATTTTTCATTTTGAGATTGTGATCCTGTCTGATATTGTTTCACTCTTATCATGGAGAGTCATCGGTCTTCTAAGGCAACAGATCTTGCGAAACTGAGGGTCACGGTTTCCTGTAGACTCCATCTAATTACTTACTTACGGTTGTTAGCCCTCGTGGAAGAGCCCTCTCGTCAGTATTCTTCATCGATCTCTTTCCTGGGCAATCTTTTCCAGTTCTTTCTGGTTGCTATTCATCCTTTTGATGTATGCTTCCGATTCTCGACCCAGTGTGTTCTTTGTCTTCATCTTTCCGGTTACCCTTCAGGATTCCAAGTTAGCGCTTGCTTCATGATACAGTTTCCTCAGTGTATTTCATATCCACTTGCAGCATCTTTTCTTAATTTCCTCTTCAGTTCAAAGCTACTTTATTCTCTCCCACAGTACGTAGTTGCTGATGTTATCCGACCAACGGATGTATCTTGCTTGAACAATTGTTTGTAAATACTTGTACTTTTTTGCTGATGGTTGCAGTAGTTCTCGAAGTTTCAGCTCCATACAGTAGGACTGTCTTGACGTTCGTATTAAAGATTCTGAATGCCTCCAACCGAATAACATTTGATTTAACGTTGATCATTGGTCAAAGTCTGTCTAGAAGTTCATCATGTGAACAAGTATTTTGACCATGCGGTTTGATGATAAAATCGAATGGATAATATTCGGGAGCTAGAAAGTTAATGCTTATAAGGCATATGAATCTATTTTATTGTGAGTAACCATAGTTGTGTAACGAATTTAGATTGATGTCGAACATAATGTAGACAAATAGAAAAGCCTCATATTTGACTTGTTTCAATAGAAACCCGTTACTTATTTTTAGCATTGACAGTTCATCTGACCTACATTCTTTTAAAATCTTTAGCTCAAAGAAACTGAACTTCTTCGTGTTGCTGAATCACTACGTATAAAAAACCGAGAATTCGAAATAGCTGCTGCTGATCGTGAATCTGCATTGTACAAACAAATCAATGAATTATCTCGTAATATTCAGTTAGCTCAACGAGAAATATCTGATTTGAAACAAAATTTACATCTCGCGCAAACGTGTATAACGAAGTCATTCACTACAATGTCCACTTCAACACATTTTGAAAATTCAAAGAGGAATTCATCAATAACAAACAATAGCATTGATCAAAATTCCTCATCTGATCCACCCACATTAGTAACACGAGCTGTGTCTATCGAAGATACTTTTTCTTCTTCGCACCATTGTAACGGTAATAATGGGCAAAAACATCATTATCATCCTAGTCCTTCTGGTTCCGAAGCCTCATTAAGCAATAACACTAGTGACATCAATTGCAATAAACAAGGCTCTTCAAGTGTTTATACCGATGCGAATTCATCATTGATTTATCGGTCTAAATTGGATGTTCAGTATAATACTGAAGAGCAACAACAGGCACCCGTAAAACCCCAAAGAAAAGTAACAGATCAAAAAGTAAATAATCTATGTAAGTGATATTTAATTATATACTACTAGTTAACAATAGGATGTCTAAACTATTGAGTATTTTTAAAATTGATCAGAAACCTTCATGTCCTGGGTCATTAAGTTAGAATCTAGTGGGTATACAACGAAGCAGTTCGCTCCTTTATAGACACGACTTTTCAACGATGATTTTGAAAACTTCCACTTCAACACACGGATTGCAAATAATTCTTTTTTAGTGTCATTCGACAGTCGTGAGAAAAATACACCAAAATAATGCGGCAGGTATACACACAACCAACACTTTTTTCTAACTTTCTTACACCATAAAATGTTTATTTCAATTTTATTAATTGTGAAGGCGGAAAACTTATCAATGTTAGTTTTTTCGATCTATGAGGATTCGTACGTATGATAAGAATATATCTGTATACCACTAGTCAAATGCGAGAATTTTCTTAACTATTTATTTTCGATTTAATAGTTCCAGCTGCATTTTTAAAATTCTTTCCACTGATACCGAGAAAAATTTATATGTTAAGTGTTGGGGACGTTAGATCCCCAGAAAAGGACTCAATTTTGTAATTTTATTTTAGAAAATTTGAACTTCTTTGTTTTCGCACCAAAAGCGCTCTTGTCACCTTCATGTCGTATTTCCCATTTGGGAAATATCTTAAATGCTATTGGTCCGTTGTGTCTTTTAGTATGCTATTTCGTAACACTCCCTAAGGACGGTTTTATGTTTCTTGTTATCGCTCGTTTCTAGCTGTTTGCAGAATATACTTCCCCATCCCAAGCTTGGACTTCTTCCTCTAGATAGCGGAGCTGGGACGCATCAGAATATCTAGCTTATTGGTCTTTGTTATCGTTCGCGTATTAAGTGGACTCGTGATAACTTCAAACCTAGCAGTAAATTGGACTATTTCAAAATCTTCATCTTGATTATAAAAATTCAACGTCCCCGAATATACTCATTACCTTTAAGAAACAACTCACCGCTATCGCATACCTCAATATAGTTGACAGAATAACGTCGCCTTCGAATCCAATCTTTATCGGTTTTTACCATACTAATTTCTTCAGTATGCCTTTATAGTTCAGTTAAAACCCATTCAACAGCTATCTTAGTGTATATTACTGGAATAAATTATTAAGTTAGGGGGATTAGAAACCATTTCAAGGTGGTTGACAAACATCATCAGAATGTCTTATAGTGCATTTTATATCCTTTTTTCCGTCTTCTTCATATTTGTTTGTTTGTTTTAGTTAAATCCTGTGCCCTACAAAATTTTACTACATGCAAACAGTTAGCTAACCAAGCAGCTAATTATTTAGCCGAACTAGTCAAATTAGTTTCTAGTTTATCAGCAGCAGAACTGTTCAGTGCTGAAAATGATTCATCCAATGATCGTTTAATTATGGTTTATCCAATTGGTTGGGAATTTTCATATTCTTCTTCGTGTCCTTCTCCTCTTTCTTCTCACAATGATGATAGTGTGATCACACAGTTAACAGCAACATCACTGGATACTATATTCAATGATCGAGTATTCAGGACATGTTATTTAGCGAATATATCTATGAAAGCTGAAGGAATCTGTACTAACTCGGAAGATTTCTTTCATATTTATTCTAATCAACTACCAGATTTATGGTTTAATGCATATAAAAAATTACCACAGAATTCATTAAACAAACAACAAACTTTAACATCAATTAATTCATTGCATAAGACTGATGATTCAGTCGATACAAGGTGAGAATAACCTTTCTATTCAAAGTAAAAGTTGTTTTTGGAATTGCCTAACATTTCCATTCAAATAGTGGATATCTATTATAAAAAAACACTGATAAACATTGTTTATCGTAACGTGATTAACAGTTATTTCATTTTATCATGTAGAGTATTTTAACTGACATACATCCATGATTTTATTTTACCTGAATTATATTTGGATCTAGATAGAACTTGTGCAGAAAAAATTATTGAAATCTAAAAATTAAAGTTTTACTGAACGATTTCTTAGTGGAGGTTGAAACTCCTCTTGTACACATACTTTGTTTTAGAATACCATGTAGTATTACCAACTTTCAAATTAATTGTGTCTCAAATCTGAGTACATGAAGTCTTCATATGATCAATATTTTTAGTTATTTATGATAACTTCTTAAAAGTTCGTAAACATCACTATTAAAATTGGAATTTAGTGGTGGTATGGATTTGCTGTATGGAGAATGACTTCTCGACCTTCAGTATGCGGATGATATTGTCTTACTGGGTGATGATACCAAAGACATGCAATCTGCACTCATTCAGTTGGCAATTAGTGTCCGTAGGTTCGGTATGTGTTTTGCACCTTCTAAGTTCACGAAGTGTATGAAGACAATTTTGGCACCTGAGAACTGATAGAAAGACTTCACGACTAAAGATAAGCGGCAGATACTAACTATTGAAAAAGTCATTTATACAACATAATTCTCCGAATAATTTCAACTTAAATGTATGTTAATGAGAAATTTATTGCGATGTTGGACAACCGATGTTGATTGTTATTGAAATTGGCATGTAAGCGTACAATTTTTTCTAGGTAATGTAATTCTCAGGATCATTGTTATGACAATATAATATTGGTCAGATAGTTATTTTAAAACTGAGAGCAAAAGCAAATTGTTTGCGACTCCTCAATCGTGTTCATAATATTTTACGGAATCGATATTATACCTTTGTTAGTATTACTAGTATTGTAGGTAACACTAACTGAGGTGTTCGTTTTCTTCGGCTATTCTTTGATGCGTAAACTTATTCTGTTTTTAAAGTATTAACACTGATCGATACGTGATTACTTAATTTTATTAGTTAATTATGATATTGTTGTTGTCCTCGCCGTTAAACAACTTCATTTCTTAATAATTTTACATGTCATGTTCTTCATGAATTCTTCTTTTTCCTTAGACATTCAAAGGTTTTTGATGATCTTCATAGAGTCGGACTTTTAGAAACCTCCTCTAATAATCGGTCACTGGAAAATATTGAAGCAGTCAACATCGTTTATAATGAATATGATAGGGAGATCAAATATAATTTTTCTAGATCAAAACTAACTGAATATTTATTACATTTGAAATTGAATCCTATTATTACACAACGTTTATTAAATGAAATTCATTGTTTAGCAGAGAATCTTAGAAGTAATAATAATAATAGTTTTATGATAATGAATTCATCAACTATTGAATTGTTCGAACAACTGGAAAACGTATTTCAAAAGTATTTTAGTCAATTCAATATCGACGAGTTATTCCTTTGTATTACTGGTACTGATAAAAATCAACAACGTTGGCCTTGTCTACTCACTTTACTGCATGGTAATCTTATTAAATTTACTCTGATTGAAGAATTGAAACTTATTAACGAGGTGAGATTTTATCTGAAGAAAAATGAATGCATCGTTTTTTATGAATGTAACTGTATGTATGGATCTTTTGAAAAATGCTTTTAAATTCCTCTGGAAATTCAACTTAATCTAGCTAATAGACGGTTTTTTGCATTCTCATTTCGGATTTATTTGAGCGCATTCGAAAGCACGTGAAATCAACCTCCTTATTAATTAATCATCAAAGATAGTCGACTTTCTCCTGTTTATTTACTAGTATCATAATTAGGCGGAGAAATGAATAGATTTTCTGGATTTTATTCGTTTTCTTTGATGTTAAGTGCTGCTGGTTAGGAATAACCAGTTATAGCACCAATTTGTTTTGTAGATTTTGAAGTGAACTACTTGTGACATCGTCCGCAACAGAACGATTTTCATTCACAAATCAGATAAAAATAATGTACAAAGTGTGATTGAAGTCCCTAGAAAATGGATCTCTGAAGCTTTCTGTTATAAAACAAAATACTTTATTTTCTATTGGTTCTTTTAGGAAAACGATTGTTCAGTCTGAATATTTTGATGACTGACACCGCAACAACAATTAACTGGTCATTTATGTGAATCTTATATTCCTCATTAACATACATTTCAATTTATATCCAATTGAAACCTTTATCGGTTAGAATAAATACTTTTTCTGTCTGATTAGACAATCTAATTTGTAAATAAGAACTTTCGTCTAAATTTGAACGAATAGTTTCACAATATTTGGGCGCCGAGTTAATGTGAGTCATTAAAGAGGAATAATATATATTTGTAAAACCTCAGCCAAAGAATTTGAAGTAATTCCAACGTTTCGCCTGGAAATCTGGTCCAAGCTTTTTCAAGGAAAATATAATCAAACATCAAAATTATCGAATATCAGTATACAGTAAACCGAAGAACCATGTACCTATTTATATTTCCTTGAAAAAGCTTGGACCAGATTTCCAGGCGAAACGTTGGAATTACTTCAAATTCTTTGGCTGAGATTTTACAGATGTATACTATTCCTCTTTAATGAATCTAATTTGTGTTTGAATATTAAAACTAAACAAAAGTATTGTCGTTGGGTTCATACAGTCGTATGAATCCTATGGTGATATCCTGTCTTTCTTTATTGAGATAATATTTGATAAGTTTGTTCAGGTTAGAAATAATTTTCATCACGAATTCAAATTATCTGGAAGAGTTATTAAAAGTCAAATGAACACTACAACTTTTGCCTTGTCTTAGATATATACTCCTTTTCTTAAAATGTTTACTGTTCGTTTGTTTGTTTGTTATTCCTCCCCACAGAATATATCATTAGTTCTTGAATGCTGTACAAGTATACTAGCCAGTACTAAATTACCATTAATTATACAATTAGTTTGGAGATGTACAAATGTGTTATTGAATGATCACAAATCAACTGGTTTTCAATTGAAAAGTTTAGATTCTGTAAGTTTTGTTTCGCCGTTGTCATGTTAACATTCGTAAAAATATGCATTGGAAACAATCTCATTGTTTACTATGTTTTAATTGAAAAAGTGGCTATTAACTGCCGCTACACTGGCGGTTTTTTCCTGCTTTTGTTACTTTGTATGCTCTAGGAGGGCTATGTGATCTGCATAGTCTATTTCATCCAACTATGTACTAAGTGCTCATTCTATTCTGTGCGTCTTCTGAGATGTAGAATTCTTCATAGTCCAGTCAACACCTAACAAGAAGAGAAAAAGCGAGAGTAGACAGCCTTGTCTAACTTCAGTCTTAAATTTGAAGCACCTGTGAGTTACCCTGTATACGTGGGTTTGCAATGCAGATTTTCTTCGTAGTTCCGTATAATGGTGACGTCTTCTTAGGTACTGTATATCGTCATAGATTTCACAAGGTTTCACTATTCATTCCGTTGAATGCTTTCTCATAATCAAGGTATTCGATGCATATCAGCGAGTTCCATTCTAGTGATTGTTCAACAATGATCCGCAATATCGTGATTCGGCAGAATAAGGCGAACCCCGATATGAAATATATTTCAAAGTAATGTGTTTATGTGAAAATTATATTGGATACGTGTATCATGTTCTAGAACCGTCCGCTATCACTGATTGGATTCCAAAGAAAATTATCAGCACTTCCGTATTATTTGCATACAGAACATTTAACTTGAATCATGCCTCAAAGATGTTTGCCTAATCAGGTATATCTGTTCTAATATCTAATGAACAGGGTAGGCTCAATAAACATACTTTTAATCGAGTTTAAAACTCACGTCATTCTTTCTGGGTGTATTGATTTGTATAATTCATTCGTATTGGATTACCATCAATCTTAGAATTTTGGGTACAGTTACGTCAATTTTTAGTTTCTTAATTGTCTTCAACGCTTTTGATTTCAAGTATTCTGTATGATGATGAGTTATTTCTAAGTGTAACGGTGTCCTTTTATATTTAATATTTTTACCTATGTATTTTGAAAGCAATTTAACCCGTGATACATGATTGTTGAAAATGTCGTGGAAATTTCACTTTTATTTCTTTACTTATAACAGCAATGTGTGTAAAGTAATTAAACCTATTAAGTTATCCATATTTATGTCGTGTAATATGCGTTTATGGAGTTCCAATTAGCGTAAATCATCTTCCAAACGTATGTTTTTTTCGTACTTGACTTCTGATCACACTTTTGGTGTAAGGTTACGACACTATCCGGCTTAACAAAGTAAAGTAGATGTAGTGGAGTTAGAACCCGCAAAATGTTAGCTAGAAATTAATTCTTTAATCCTCCTGTTATAACTTGTGACCGCTAATTATGGAGCAGTGACTTATCGATCGGATCAATGACGCGTAAACACGTGCGAGCAGTCTAGAGCCCTGGTTGACCCTGCTTCTCGCCTAGCCCAGCCAGATAAGTCCAGAACACAAGTCTCAACCTCTGCGATATGAATCATTATATTTCAAACATACTCTGTTTATATACCAATCAAACAGACCACATCGTATCATAAAGTAGGAAATAACATTTGTACAAGATTTGGCCAACAGGAAAATGACACGTGAAATAAATATTGACCAGTAGGGAAACGACACGTGAAATAAAAATTGACCAATGGGAAAATGATGCTATTTCAAGTTTAAGGATAGCATTAGACTTAACAAGATAATTTTTGGGATAATTTTCTGAATATCCCAACACCTCCAAGCCACTGAAATTCTAACAACTCATTGACCTTTTATTAATGGTACTACTCATAATATGAAGTTTGTGTTAAATGAATGGTTTTAAAATATTAGTTATTATTTTGAATCCTCTGTTAGACAAACAAATGAAATCGAGATAGCAAGTTTTCTTTAATCGTCTACTCTAGGGTGATAAAAAAGTGTTCATTTCAATCTGATCCGTTCATACTTTGTGCTTATAATTTCGCTACTCCAATTTCAATACTATGAACGAAAATACTTATCTTCTCTTCTTTTTGTTACCTAACTGACTAGAGTAAAAACAGCAGTTTAGTAAATTAAACTTTTTGATATTGATACAAATAAATTTTTTATCAATTCTATATCAATGAAAAATGAGTAGAATATTTAGAATGAGTATTTGTTATTTAAACAAATCATTGCAGGAATATCTTGAAATTACATAAACACTGTTTACAATGAACAATTTACTGTGGCAGAATTTCAACCTAACTGATATTGACTGTGATCTAAAGTAGCGAATCCCCAACACAATCATGTAGATCAGCGTTGAAGTTAATGAAAGGAAACCATTACAGTAAAAAAAACAAGGCTTTGTGAATTTCCTGTGTTTATCGAAAGTTAAATATAATATATATCATCAGAATGGCTCTTCTCGCCGTCTCACCTTTGTGAATACATTATTACTACAAGACCGGAAGGCCCCGGCTTCAATCTTCTATGCAGTCGCTTAATTGATTGACAAGACTTATGATTCAGTTAGATGCTTTTACTGATGATTTAGTCGAAGATGTCACTTCATTCATACATAAACATGGACTAACAGTTCAGCGATATGATATATTATTTACTTACATCAATGTAGACAAATGACAATAGACACACATCTCATTCGGAAAACGTCAAAGTTTTGGTTCACGGAAATCCTAAAGTACCAGAAAATTTCCATAAACATGGCATCTAGATCGCCCTTAAATGCCCTGGTACGGTCGAGGGCGAGGAGAGTTTGCTTTCCCTCTCGAAAAACTCACAAGGCCACGCGTATACAACTACTAACAAGGAAGTCTTACTCACTACCTTCTCGCGGCACTGGTGTTGTTTACGAAATTGAGAGGACGAAAAGCGAATGTCCGGCGCTTTAACGAGGTTGATGGATATGGAGGGTCCACCTAGGGGGTTCGGGAAATCCAGATTCCAAGTCAACGGTGCACATGAACTCCAGGATTCTGAAGGAAAAATGGCGTATGAACCAATCGTTGGTCACCGGCTACCACGGGACTGCATCTCCTGACGTTGTTGATCAAACCTTTAGGTCAAATGGCTCCGGATGTGGTCCCCTAAGAAAACCGCCTGCTTCGGTCTGGGCACCCGGGTAGTATCACAACGCACACACAGATCAAGTGACTTGTGTGGCGCATATGTATTCGGTGCCCCTTTGTACCCATGTTTATGTGTTCAAATAAGCAAATAAACAACTGGTAATCGATGGATATGTGCCTAATCTGTGAATCTATACGGAAAAATTCAATCGAACAGAACGAAGTAAAGAAAACATACCAGCCAATCTGACTTCATTAAAAAGCTCACAGATCTTGTCGCCGTTGAAATGTAGGGAGTACTAGAGGTTTTAAATTCAGTGAAGTATTCAGAGCGTAATGTATGTCTCACTAAATTGTACGTGGATCATTTATTTGATATTTATTGTTGATTACATATATCTTTTTATAAAAAGTCTGCATTCAATGGTGTAACGCAAACTTCTGTACACTTATCTTCGCTTATTTGGGTGCACGTATGTCGAATGAGATTGAACAATTTCATTCCATAACATCAATCGAAACATTCAAACATCCTTTACAAACGAATCCAAATCCATCCCTTTGCACAAATCCATGGCTATATGGACTAAGTAGTTAATTGGATAACGCGTTGGATCTTTTAAACAAAAAGTAACAAATAAATAATATATTTATAATATCCCAATGAGTAGAAAATTAGATTTTCTGACGTTTCGTGAGTTAGTGTAAGTCACTTCTTCAGAGAATAAATAACCAAATTAAAATTAATCCAAGTTTAAATAGTACGACGGAACAATAAGAATAATATTTGATCAATCAAAAAAGTAACAAGTTCAAATCCCGATTTAAACATAAACATGGGTACAGATTCATCTGGTTGATTAGTCCCTGATAGATTCCACTGCTAACCACTATCCAACTCTGCTTAAAATAGTGAACTACTTCCAATTTGTTATAAGAAAAGAAAGTATAGCTAGTGATGATTCACTTGTTTTAGTTAGTGTTTTTTTCCTCGTTCTATTTGAAAACGTCATAATTCAGCTGAGTCATCTTTATTTTTGTTTTTCTCTCGTTCAGTTATTTGTTTGCTTAAATAGTTGTGTTTTCGTTAAAGACAAATTAGTTTTGATAGTCTTCGTGAATGTTGTGTGTTCATGTATGTGTCTATATATAGGAATAGTATCAATTTGACAGTCTTGTTGTCTTTCAGCTCATATTAACTTGGTTAGTAGTCCCGTTTGTTTGTTTATTCTACTACTATTCGTCCGGATTATTTTATGTATGGTAGATATTTTAAACTGTTAAAAGCATATATTAATAGTAACACGCAGTGAAAATCGTCTTTATTTAATCTACATTGATCCTTCAGTAGTTTTTTTGCTTGTTTTAAAATTTTTAGTTGATATTCGTTATGGATTAGTCTCAATTACGGTGCCAATGAACATCTATTCAGTACTATTTGGTTTCAATAGTACTCATACTGACATCAACCTGTGATGAATACACCCTCTCTCTCTTTCTCAAAATTAATTAAAATTTGTACAAAACCATTTCATTTAAATTATATAAATTTTGTTAATTCTTTTCGTTAGAAGTACAGTGTATTTACATAGTAATTAATGTAGTAAGGTACTCATAATAATGTCTAACTTATGTAACATGCTACAGATTAATATCCTAGAAATCAACCGTCTACATTATTATATAACTTGTCCAGTAACTGGAAAACTTGTTTGCCTAAAACTCTGACTCAATTTTCTGTTTGTGAACTATTGTGTATCTTGAATATTGAGTTATTGATTCTAAATGTCATAAAAAAGATTGGTATCTCCACAACTTGTGTTCATTGATGTGTACACTTTCTTTGGGTGTATGTACCTACATCCTAGTATTGATTACTCATATTGAAAATTGAACACTACACTTATCGTTCCAAACTGCAGACGGTTATTCGCTAGGTTATTAAATCTATAATGGTCAACAATATAATCAACTTGGTTTTACATTCATTACCAGTTGTAAATATTTGTGTGAAATAGTACTCTCCTGTTTAGTGCATATCGATAATATTTATTTCAAACGTTCTCTTGCATTCAGGTTTCAAGTACGTATCCAGTCACAGCTTTCTGTGTGAAAGTATTCATACTTGTGATGCGAAGGAATGTGAATTTAATATTTTCGTTCCTTTTAAGTCATTTCTTATCCGATAAGTCATAATGTCTTGTTTAGAAAATTTGCAACAATACATTCAGGTATCTGTCTGATAGTTTCACATGCTTTTTATTCAGTCGAGGTCTGGAAATAAATTCCGAGAGTTTATGATTACATGTAGTAGGTTCCATTTATGAATTTAAATAAATTGTTATTCGCTAAATTGATTATTCATACCCTCCCCGGTGTTTAGATGTAACCAACTGAAATGTTTCTGACATGAAGTTTCATAGATGAACATTGGAATGTTTTAAAATTTAACCTTGTCGTTCCACCATGTGCTGTTTAAAATAAACACTCTTTATTGTCTGCTATCACCATTTTCTCTAATCATTGTTTATGGACGAATAAAGACGATTTGTTGTTTTAAAAGCTTTGGAATTGTCTAAAAAATTTCACGTTGTTTCTTTGTTTGTAACTCTTAATATTTATGTAACGATTAATTTGTGATATAGTTATTTCACACACCTTGATATATATATATGCCTTCTCAACTTTTCTATGCGTTTAAAATTCTAGCTGATAGATTGGCAGTTCACATTACCACGAATATCTAATACTAAAAGTCAAATAGTCCAACACGATCAACAATCCTCTACAACAGCAATTCAAGTTAATGAGATGAAATTTTTGAAAACAGATTTCATGTTAATGTTTGTCAAATATATCATGAAAATTTCACCAAATTTATTAAACTGGACATCGGAGTTAAATCAATTGGATGTTGTGTCAAGAAGTAAATTTTTATAAGGTTTTATAAATGTTTTAAATATTTTTTGTTTATAATTTGCTATATTGGCGTAGATTCAAATAGCCAACTTACCGTTTTTTAACTTACATCATTTGTGACATAGAAATGTCGATCTACCAACGGGTGGGAAGTATGATATGCTCGTGACATACCTGAACTCTAAATACTTTATCATGAATGTTTTGGAAACACTTTTCGCGTTTAGTAGAATGACCGAGTAAACAATGGTAAGGTTCGGGGTATGTTGTTCGGGTAAAGTTGACTGTGAATCTTCATTGATTGTTGGAAGAAAACTTGGGGCGACTAAATCAAAACGTATTATCACTCAGTGACACCATTGACTTTCAATCTGGACCATGTTGATAGTTTCAGACTATCCGGTTAGGAGCTCGTATGATAACCTCGATCAGTGCTTTTAGAAGTTGAATGACGTAGCTTTTAAGTTCCAGTATATCTTCGTACATGCCTTTCCAATCTATCTTTTGGAACAATATCCCCATTGCTTAGTTATTCTCATCCCCACTACCACTACATTGTTTTGAATTCTTCGATGCTTGTCTTACCAATTTCATCCAATTGTGCTGATATGGCATAAAAACGAAGGTTAACACATATTTGTACTTGGCTCTAAGTTGATTATCACAAATGGTTGAAGCCAATCGATAAAATAACCTAAATCTCAGTTTTATCGTAGTTACCAGCCTGTATATAAATACAGATCCATGTAATTACATACTGATCAGTAACTTCACATGTTCTTGTTCTCTAACCAGCATGTTACACTTTTGTGGCCCTAGATCTGATTCCAGTTAAATCGGACGAATGATTGGTGTCGAAATACACATATAGTCTATCCTCGTATAAAATCATCGACTTAAATCGCGTTAGTGAATAACGGAATTAAATAAGTCAAATACGAGAATGAATTTCGAATACGTACACATTGATCTGGACAGACGATCAGAGAGACGAAGCAAAGCCAAATGATGCGCAGTGGAGAAGGCGTGTAAGCCAACTCCCTCTAATCAAGTGTTAATCAATATTTATAGCCAGACGGACATGTGGTGAATGAGATAAGGAGTGCACATACACACATATATAAAAACAGTCGAGGTTGATAAGCGAATAATTAACATGGTAAAAATATGACTCAAGTATAATGGATAAATTGGTTTGTTCAGAAGCTAGACAAGGTATATAGGCTTAACATAGCAACCGACACTACAGCACTTCTGGGATGTCAAGCCTAATAACACTAGTTAAGCTGTATTGTTGTTATGGTAGTTAAATAATAAAGCTATAGTGTAGTGGTGAAAATGCTGTGGTTTGCAAATACTGGGTTGCTAGTGCGGATCTCCATTTGGGTACCCGAATAGTAATCATTGCCACTCTTCAAACAACTAAATTGTGGCTCAAATTTAGTTAAATTAAAAATCCTGTGCTTCATCCGTTTTCCTTCCGCATATAAGAATCATTTGGTTGTTAAATATAATAGATAGCAATAGGTTTTACAAAGTTAAGCAAAGTTAACCGCTCTCGTTGATAACAATTAACTGTCTAATAAAATGCAGTACATTTCCTCAATTCATCATAGTGATCAACTACTGCTTAATTGGTATTATTAAATTCTAATTAAGTTCATGTTACACTAATTATTTCCTATTGTTTGATTTTTCCTCTAGTTTCAATATCTGATTTATTCAAACGTATCGAATATGTCAAATCAAATTTAACATTTTTAATTCATTATTCTAAAACTACTGAATTTGCGAATAGTAATAATTATACTAATAACAATCATAATGATAATAATAAGGATAACAAAATGACAAGCCAAGGTAATTTGTCATTAGAAAATGTAGCATTGATTATTCGTTTACTTGAATTGTTAACAAAAACATCAGAAACAGTAAGTTGCATTTTACATTCAACTGCTTATTGGATCAAGAGATTTCAACCGTCATTATCTACATCACCAAGTTGTAATATGATGTTATCGGATGATTGGTTAAATCCGCTTGTCAGATTTGCATTTTCATTCAAGGTGTGTGTATATATGTATTTTAATTGTAAAGTAGTTCCCTTTTTTAGAATTAGGACAAGACTGATTTTAACCTAGTTTACAATATGAATTGATATCTATTAGACAACTTTAAAGACTTAGGTGGCAATATATTACTTACGCCTGTTACTCCTCGTGGAGGAGCATAGACCGCCCACCAGCAGTTTCCATCCAACCCTGTCCTGGGCAATCCTTTTTATATCTGCTTCTATTTCCCGATGTAATGTGTTCTTTGGCCTTCCTCGTTTCCGCTTCCCATCAGGATTCCAAGTTGGGGTTTGCCTCGTGATGCAGTTTAGTGATTGCCTCAATGTATGTCCTATCCACTTCCAACGTATTTTCCTGATTTCCTCTTCAGTTGGAAGCTGGTTTGTCCTTCCACAGAAGGCTGTTGCTGATGGTATCCGGCCAATAGATGTCGAGTATCTTGCGTGGACAACTATTTATAAATACTTGTACCTTCTTGATGATGGTTGTAGTAGTTCTTCACGTTTCAGCTCCGTACGATAGGACTGTCTTGACGTTCGTACTGAAGATTCTGACTTCGATATTGGTTGGCAGTTGTTCTGAGTTCCATATGTAGCGGTTAGCACTCTGAGCTTTGAATCCAGCGACCCGAGTTCGAGTCTCGGCGAGGCCTCCAAACTCCTCCTGTAGCCCTTCTAGTGTTACTGCCGGTACCATGCCCAGATAAATGAGGAGGGTTAGGTATTGGGTCGACAACCCCATCCTGTAGAAAAGAGAACCTTGCTAAAAAAACGCCAACCAGGTTAAACATATTAAACCATTTAAACTCTGCCCTGGAAGTTGAAGGAAGAATTATGACGCCTCAGGACGGAAGCCGACATTCTTCGGAAGTCACGAGGCCGATGCCCTCTCTAACAACCGACGCAACAATTTTTATAGGTACATAGAATTTTTATACTCTATTTTGAGGTTACTTAATAATACTTGTCCCACGGATTAAACCTAATACTTCTAGGTTCCATCTCACTTTTCTAGTTGTTGAAATTGTTGTCTTGTAAAGAGCGCTATTAGAAATATGTTTTTATGGTAATTTAGTCATCAGATATATTATGGTCTTGTGTACTGCATTTAAGTAGATTGCAGTTGTGTATCTTTTTTCATCATTTTATGGACGGTTAACTAATCATATTTTGTAAAGCTAATCGACTTCTAACTAATTAATTAACTGCATGTTTTTTTTGTGAATAACTTGATATAAACATGTTATGTTATCCGTTCATAACTAATCAGTGCCTGTAAAAGTTTTCATCAATTTATGTAATTGTGACACCTACTAACTTTCAAGATACTGTAACTAAATAACTGATAGTACACATTAAATTCCTTGAAAGAAATTGCGATGAAAGTGAAAGAAAAAACTGGCCAGGCATCTCTGGCTCTAGACTTCGTACCAGTTAAAACTAGATAACCGTAACTGTTTTTAAATATTTGAAGAAAATAACGCTCCATGTGTTCGAATTTATCACCATTCAGTATCTCGTACAGAGAGACATTGACAATGGACTATTTGATCGACACGATCCTATAAGTTTGAGGCGTCATTTTTATCTTTGAGCTAATTGAATTCTGTTGACTAAGTTACGATTTGGTCAGTGGTGTAAATGACTCGTCATCACGTCCACTATATTTAAATGTTACTGCTAATCGACAGGATTAAGTCCACACCATTGTCTAAATAAATATGATCGATCGGTATAAAGATAAAATGTTTTGTAAAAACAATTGTTTCTTTATTTTTATGACTTGTTACCCGTTTATCAATTTGTAACGTTACACGAATCAATACAGAAAACTGTTAATCTCATAAATTATCCCCTTATTTATTGAATATCACAATCATATATGTAAGATTATTTCTTTTGGTGCTAATAATAAAGGGATCCACTTTGAAATTAGTCATTTGTTATGTTCTATTGCTTAGGTTAGAAGATAGCTGATTTGATATTATTTCTGGTAATTTGTAATTTGTACAACAAATTCCTTAATTTGTAGATTGGAAATAATTTCCACTTGTCTTTAATCAATAATTCCCTTACTTTAGTACTGAAAAATTAATCATTCTGATAGTGATTAAATACTTATTTAAGTATATATTTTCTGCGATTGACTCTGAATACTTTTCTATCCTTAAAAAAAAAATAAAAAAGTTACAAGTAATAGTCGAATAACTAAATGCAGCTACTGTATCAATCCATGAATTCGTCTACAGTCGTATTATATGTACATAATCAGTCAGTTATGATCAACACAGAGCCTGGGAAAAATACACGTTGGTCCAAATCGCCATGTCATATTAGCACAACAAGATGAATAAAAAAGAAGTCAAAACAACTGTAGTGTTAGTGATAGCGGGAAAGATTAAATACTACAGAGTGCAGTTCTAAAAGATAGAATGAATTCGAGAAATAAAAAGTTCGAAGATTGAAACTCATTAAAAAGAATTAAGACAATTCAGCAAAGAAAATTTTCTATTCGATAATATCATTTGCAATGGTCGTTTTGAGTTGGGTAAATTATTTGTTTAATATTCCTCGAAAACAGTTATCCATCCAGGCTTATTCAGTGTAACATAAAACCAAAATTATAATCTGTAAAACTTCATAGTTCTTAGGAAAACCCTCTTCATGAACATTAGGTTCAAGGCAGATACTGCTGCAAAACGTTTGGAGAATTATCTGACGAAATTCTTGAGCAAAAATTTTTATACCCCTAAGTTTTACAAACAGCATTGAGTTAAACGTAAAACATATTTCAAAGAAATACCGTGGTAAAAAATGTACAGAAATTAGTAAATACACTTCTGCTTATTAATTATCCTCTGAAGTCCTAGTATCATTTGTCAACAGTGATTAGGTGAAAATCAGTTAGTCTGCTAAATAATTAGGAATTTGTTCGAAGCCATCAATAATTCCCCAAAAATATCTTTAAAAGTCAGAAAAATGGTGGGCTTCAAACAATCAGGATTCTTGGGGAACTTTTGAATGAATTCTGTAAAAGGACGAATTATATTATCATGATCCGATCGAACGATTGCCCAATTCGTTTAACATGTTCTTCACAACCTTTTATATTCTTAAGGTCACATTTGATACTATAAAATACCCTTTTTGTCTGTAAACGAATTAACTTTTCGTTGAAGCTTCTCTTATCCTTCCTCCTTTTGTTTTCTGTTTGGAGCTTAAAAGTAGATTTATGTGGACCAGGAAGCGGTTAGGAATCCGATATCAAAACTTACAAGTACAAGACATACCAGAGATTTACTCTTCTAACAATTTTTCCATTGGTGTCATTTTTTAGTCACTTCAGTTCTCAAAATTGTTAGAGATAGCTACTGTGTGCAAGTGTAATTGCAGAAACTGCACAACGACAAACTATGAGGTGCAAAATTAGATTTTCATAGTTTGCTTCAAATCTAAGAAGTAAATCAGTAATATCAAACAAGTGATGCACACATCAAATTAATGTTATTAAAAACAATTTAAGAAGTCTTAATTGTATTCCGTAAGTTTATTTCATACACAGTCTATGACATGTCACACTCTGTTTTTCCCTAATTTATAATCGACATCGTAAACCATAAAAATTCTGTGAGTTATTTAGAATTTAAAATCCCATTAGTTGCAATCGATTTGTCGAGACATATGGGAATATTTCTTTGAAGCAATTTTATGTTTTTATGCTTGTAATAGAAAGATTCATAGTTCATAAACAAATAAATAATATTGATACTGTTACTGATTTATTTTTAGAATTGTGTCAATGATCTCGATAAAAAGTCACCTCATTCACAAAATTCCTCATTAAATATACACGATACTCAATCTTCTAGTCATTCACATCATCGTCACAGTCAAAAACACTTGAAAGAACAAGAAAAGGTATTAAATTTAATTCTGTTTTCATTTTCCATTGGAAAAAGAATTCCACCTTTTTGTTGTTGTTTTTCTTTTACAAAAAGGTTACTATGGCACAATCAACTTCTGATATAATTGACAAATTTTATTTAAATACTTTTACTGACACTGAATGAATCGGTTGTTTCGTACAACCAATTTACAAGTTCTCCAACTGTGAATAAACTATGTAAAATAGGATTACTAGTTAATTAAATGAATTTACTATTAGAGCAGTGGAGAGATGATTTAGTGGTTCGACTTTTGGTCACTGAGTCGAAGGTTCGATCCCCGCCCTCCCCTACCTCCGGCACCCAAGCAGTATCAGTAACCTTCACTGTTAGACCGTGACTCGAGGCCATATTAAATAAGTTATTATCAGAATTAAACTGTCATAGATAGAAAAAAGTTTCAACCAAGATAATAAGACTCATCATGTAACCATTGAAACCAATCGAGAATGGAAATATGTAGGCTACAGAACAACCAATCAGGCCTCACTCCTAACATTTTTACTAATACTTTCATATAATATTCATTTACTCAGTGAAGGATTCTCGGCACGAAACACGCAATATTGCAGTAAATTCATTTTTAGTATACATTGTAGTTGTAAAGATTTAAAAATTATATTCTAGAGAAAATATTTACAATCATTATCAACCAGTTCTGTCTCTTTGACATGCTTTCATTGTCCAATATATTTGATAATAATTAATCAAGTCGATATTAAAAATATCAAATTAATACAATAAGGTTATCCCAACTACAGAGAAACGTGAGTAGCTGAAGCTCTCCATACATTGCTAGATCTTACTGCCCTCAATATAAAAGTCCTTACTATCCATCCGACTTGGACCATCTGTCCGAGCTAACATATCTGATTCTATTCACATCTCACACTGTTATCATACATACTGATTCAACTCTATCCTTTTACATTACGAATTTCATGTTTTTCTTCCATTAACACACAAAAATACAATATATCTCACATGAATCACATTAACCGGAATGACATGTCATCGACTGAGAACTGCTTTTTTGATTGATCCTACTAAGTAATTTTGCTTGATACCTTTGTACTATTTAAAATTAGGTTAATTTAATTTGTTTACTTATTCTCTGAAGAGGTGGCTGACATGTAGTCACGAAACGTCGGAAAATGTTATTTTTCTACTCATTCAGATGGAACAAATATAATATTTTTAATAATAGTAGTAGTACTCGTTTTATTCATTACTATGATCCATGTTACAGTAAGGAGTTTTCAACATCGGTTGTCCAACGTCGCAATAAATTTCTCATTAACATACATTTAAGTTGAAATTATTCGGAGAATTATGTTGTATAAATGACTTTTTCAATAGTTAGTATCTGCCGCTTATCTTTAGTCGTAAAGTCTTTCTATCAGTTCTCAGGTGCCAAAATTGTCTCCATACACTTCGTGAACTTAGAAGATGCAAAACACATACCGAACCTACGGACACTAATTGCCAACTGAATGAGTGCAGATTGCATGTCTTTGGTATCATCACCCAGTAAGACAATATCATCCGCATACTGAAGGTCGAGAAGTCATTCTCCAGGCATTCGTTTAAGCGTTGCGGAATTCTAGAGATTGATTCTATTATGGCTTGCAGTATTCAAGATTGATACTGATACACAAATTTATGTGCGAGACCCGAGCGTCTACTGAGTGAGAAGACTAAGAGCGAAGGGGGAAGCTTACAGATCAAACTGAATCAAATGAATAAAAACTCATTTATGTGTGTACGTGTATATGTACTCCTTAGAATGTAAAACTATTTCTTGACCAATGACTTGCACTTATCAATAGGAGAACTTCAATTGGCTCAATGTGAACTCCTCATTCTGTGGATTGCGATTGGTCCATTTTCTCAGGTTTAGTAGTGTCAATATTATTAACGCTTGGTAACATCTAAATGATTTTTGATATAAAAGCGTTTTATAAGGGAAAATGTGTAGCAACATCTCTGGCCAATAGAAGTTTAGAAAGGTTTTGTAAAAAGTCGATATCATACTTTATCATTTTTCATTCATTCCCTGTTGAACAAAGATCCCATCCTCGTCAAAACGTGAAAATCGTCATCGTAAGCCACGTACTCGTCAACTGGATACAGACGGTCTAATGGATGATATATTACACAGTAAGTTCCAAAGAGCATTTTAGATTGAATTTAAAGTTTTTACTGTAAACAATACAAAACGAATTTGTGATTGTTTTGATCATGCACTATACATCACAAAGTGATAATGGGTGGGACATACAATTTATCTTTCCTTATAAATATATTATTAGAGTGCTATACGTAATAATAATTGACCCAGCAGTCTATGCTGAGCTATAATCTAAGCAGCTACAATTTAGTCTTCGGTAATTTATCTATTTCGAATACTGTTGGGGGTTACAACAAAATGAATAAGTGGTGAGTAACAGTCAAAATTATAAAATATAACAGTGTTCATCAATTAAATAGTCAAATAACGATATATTACACCAAAATCATAGTAACTGTTAAAAGTAATACATGATTTAGCAGTAAACATGCCCATTAGGAATGTAATTATAACACAGTCCGGCCACTGAATAAGAATGTATGGTTCAGAATCCCAACTTTAGTCTACGGGAGTTGTGATTCAGTCTTCGACCCTCGTCGTTAATGAATTACTGTCCCACTTCTGAATTGGTTTTGTCCCATAGTTCATTGCTTTCCATCAAACTCCAACAAAACCACCTCGAAACCAATCACTACCGGTCATACGATTATCATTTACCAAAGTATCTTGTATAGAGATTCATATAATTTTAGGATATCCTTTTGTTATGATTAAGTTGGATTGAAATCTTGATTCACTAATCAGAATTCAAATCATTACTTCTCACTGACTAACGTTCTGTGCTTTGAATGACAGCGAATTATCTTGAGCTGTGGCCGAGATAGTCGTCGATGTGGCTTTATCTCCTTACCCCCTCATATTTATTCCGATAAGAGAACACAACAAATCGATAAGATCTCTATTGTATGATTATCATTACGACTCAGACCTCACAATAATATAAAGTAAATTCCTGACAATGTAAACATAAATGGAGAAAATACAATGTGTTCATGACCACGCTATAAGTGAAATATACACTGAGTGAGGTGTCCGTTATTAACTAAAAACAACTTAGGAAAAGTAAAACACAACAATAGTTTATGAACCAGATGAAAAGGTTACAAACAGGAGGATATAAGAATGCTATAATCCGTGTCAAATAGTTATATAATGGAAATATTATCAATAGTTGCACGTAAGGTAATCACAAAAGTTACTATCGGATTCAAGTTCAACACAAGATCTGAATCTTCTCAGCTCAATCTCATGTATTATTATAAGTGTGCACTAGTGAGGGGTCCGAAAATGGGACCAAGTAACTCTGCGGTGCTCCAGTTGATATACCAGTTTGTGACGATGATCATCGTGCAAATCTCATAAAACATTTTTTTAAACTTGATTATTGTTAGCATGGAAAAGACGATACGACCATACTTTTCCAAAAAAATAGGTAATCATTCGGAATGATGTACATATATGCCTCCAGTATTAGATTACACAGTAATAGCTAGTATATATTCTTTATTCCTTATGAAACCACTACACTTGACAAAACAGTTACTACCGAATACCAGAAATTTGAGTGTGAAAGTTCTATATTTTCATAAAAACGATTGAATGGAATGAACAGCAAGACGAATATGAAATCACGAAAAGGCATATACCTACTTCGAGATTCAGACCGGCCTCATTCTGTAACGTATTCAGAGATACCACTTACTGGGTAATATAAAATATCACTCTCTTTATTCCTTAGTTCTAACTAAACTCTGTCGTCGAGTTAGCAGCAACGTCCCTAATTCTATTGCTTTGAAAAACGAGTCACAGGCAGTAAGTCTGAACTGTGGAATAGACCAAATAGTGTTGACTCCTGTTCAGAAAAATAAAGATGAACTACGTCCATATCTAAGTATCGCTGTGGCTAAGTCGCTAAAGCAGTAAGCTTTTAATTATCCGATCAAATGATTAAACCTCGTCACGCCTTCTTTGGTTTCGAAAGCCGAGTAGTCGTGTTACGCGATAAACGTGTGATCCAGAGATGATTGCAAAAGACTACTTAGTCACATGAGTTATTAGTTTAATAATACATTGTTTGAAGTGCAGTGGTATATCATGTTCCATAATTAAGTAATCACTACCTTACCGAGAAACAGTTTTATGGAATTTAGTTGACACTGAGGTTTATATATCAGGAAATTCAGTCAGCTACAACGCAGGACCAGGCACATATATACATCGGTCCAAGATGCCACACCTCATTAGTACAAGATGAACACCGAATTCATAGTAGTTAATTCAATGGTGGTAATATATTAAAGAAAAACATTAATTATTCTAAAATCAACCTACTTAGCATTTCTAGTTATTATGTCATAACTCTGTCTTTCTCTTCCTTAGATCTCACTTTGAATCCTCTAAGAGCAGATATACATGTGAAACGATCAGACAAGATTGATTAGATCAATGCTACTTCTTTCCCCTTCAATGACACCATATAGTTTTCATGATAATAATACACGAACTAGTGCTGTTTTGCAAGTCTTCCTACAAATATACATTCCTGTGAATGGAAACCTTTATCCCTTCGTTTTCCTTTCATTTAAGGCGTTTCATCTTACCGTTTATCTAATCTGCTTTGTTTTCCTTGATATTTGTACAAATTATTTTAATGCTACGTATTACCACTTAGTTATATATATCCCTTTTAGCAGATAGTTATTTTATAAAGTACCTTGACCTCTGTGGTGCGTTGTCCTTTTGAACGTAATTATTTAAACTTATGAAAATTTACATCTCAATTTTTATTCTTGCAGCATTTCTTTCGATTTATTCGCGAAAACTTCATCTGTCTGTCCCGATTGTACTGTTTTAAGCTATTGAATGCTCCTCCTGAATATGTGTGTATACAGGTACTTATCCCTCTATATATCGAGTACATAATATCGTATAAATATGCCTCATCAGTGTCATTATTGTTTGCTTGTTGAATACTGTAAACAGATTAATTTACTTTTCATTTTATCACCTTAACCTTTATTCCTTTTACATCAATAAATAAAGCATCTTATCCTTGTCAGCAGTTATGTTGCAAATTTCCTTTTTATTGTGGTTGGTTAGTTTGCATTGACATAGATATTTGAGACTAGTTTGAATTACCAACTTCTTTTGCAACCAGGTTGATAGATAAGTTTGAACAATTAGAAATGATTTGGGATATTATTCAGTTTTTGAATAAAAATTAGACACTAGACGTAACTACCAGTTATTTCGTATAGACGGAGTGAACCTTAGTGAGCGTGGAGTTTTGGTAGAACCACCCAGAACTAGAAGTCAGTAAAAAACACTGGATTTTACACTAATTATTCTTCTCTACAACTAAGCAATTATTTGACATAAAAATCTTAAGTTTATCTCCAGTCTTATCGTTAAGGATAGAAGGTCACTAATTAACTTCGGGAATTCAGCGAGGTACGCATTAGTCAGTACATAGTTCAATCGTGAAATGTTTGTTGCAACTCCAATAGTTGGACTTATTGTTGGTCCTCGGGAGATAAGTATACTACTCAAACATGCTGAAAATATGACACCTTAGCAGCACCATGAGGCTCTTGTTAAGAATCCATTGGAATATTCTGAATTATGGCACTTTCAGAGCCCTAATTGCTTCACCACTCAAAAGCAGATCCGCAAGGTTTTTACATAATACAAATCATCCCAAATGAATCGAAATGTCATAAAACAAGTTATCCTTGTAAGCAAAAATGCTACTGAAAGTCAAACAGAAAAGGACCTAGATGTGTAAGTAGACAAAATAAGGATGTGTAGTGGTTTTCTTCACGGATTGATATTAGCAGAGACACAATTGAGAAACGGCGGGACAAGTGTTTCTTACTTGTGTGGGTTCTTAGTGAAGGGGACACATGACTATCGAAGGACTGAACTCAAATTTTTCAGGCCCCGAAGGGAGCGCTTAAACTTCAGAAAACTGGCTATTTCCAACTTGGATTAATTCTTAATATTACGTGTTAGATAGGTTTTGTTGGTGTTCTAAGGAGTGAGATACTAGGAATAGAGGTTCTGGGGGATTGAAATCAACTTACTGTGTGCGGTCTAGAAATTCGAAATGGCGATGCAATGAAAAGCTTTTTCTGACTAATACTAATCGAATTACTGGAGAATACTTCATTTCCCAATATTTGATATAGTGTGATGGTCATCCGACATTGTAATAACCGTACAAAGATGTTTTTTATGAGGTCTAATGATGGTGTTTGATCTTCGGTCGCGGAGTTTTGCCGTGCATCTTACCTTCAAATCGAGATATCATTTCATTGAAAGAAACAGTAATTCAACATATGAGGCACACCCATCATCCGTTAATAAAATGTATTTCGATAGCAGTATCATATATCTGTCTACTGAACTTAAATACCATATCCATCGGCAAATAAGAGGTGTACAGTAATAACTGGAATTAATCTAGAGCGGGGAATATTCAAATAAAAGTTAGAACGATACGTTTAACTAAAACCACATAAATAACTGGCCAACATATAAAAAGAAATCAGTATCATGATTCACAATTGATTGATCACTGGGTAGTGATCAATGTAATGCTTGTCTAGTCCTTATTAGTGCAGATCGAATGCTATCGATCATGTTGCAATGTGGCCACCAGTCTAGGTGACTCGACACTGCGGGCACTATGTATTGAGATTAAGATGGTAGTTGGAGGTAGTCAACAGGAAACCCTGGACCCGGGTTTCGATAGCATTCGATCTGCACTAATAAGGACTAGACAAGCATGACATTGATCACCACCCAGTGATCAATCAATTGTGATTACATCTCAGTCCTACAGGAGGTTAGTCACGGCTCGGATAGCTCAGTGGTAACGTCTCTGACTGTGAATCTGGGTGACACGAGATCGAATCCGCCAGGGAGCACCAGTTCCCTCAAGATTACAGGTACACCTTGCTGACGAGTGCCAAGTAGCACGAAACCCGGGTCCAGGGTTTCCTGTTGACTACCTCCAACTACCATCTGTATCATGATTCATTCATATTCTCTTATCAATTATTTATATATTCCAGTTTGAATGAAACTGTACATTTCAGTTATGGTGTACATACATGTATAATCATATGAACAAATAGAAATCAGGTTAGCGAAAAACAAAGATATTAGTTTGACAAAACGAATTGTCCAATTCTTTTTCTTAATGTGTATCACAAAACTCATTCTTGATGATTTTATCTCAATTAGAAATCAAATGGAAAAACTTACAAGGGGAAATATAAAAAACAGAAGAATATAACACAAGTGCACATAAATTAAAGTTGAGTAAAGGAACTACAGTAGATTTTCATATCATTGATTGTTTTGATGTTTATGACTGTAGGGCGCTCAGATCTGCTCGATAAAAATGATAATTACTGGTGCTGCTATTATCACCACCACTGCTACTACCATTATTGTTGCTTCCGGATGGATGATAAGAGGTACAATCATAATACGGCCTAAAACATTCATCAGGATCAAAAATTGCTGATCGACAAGAGTTTATGTCAGATCCTACCGACGGATAAGTAGATACTAGAATAGGATTAATATGGTTTTTTGACGACCCGGTTAGCTCGTAACTAGAATTCGATGTACAAAACTCAGCTGAATAATTGGTCATTTGATTAGTCAGTAAAGAATTACTATTCCTACAACTGACGTTCAGATTATGAGAGAATGGATTTTGTGCAGTACTCAACGGCTCATTACGATACAAATTATCATGCTTATTGACAAGAAGTAAGTGCTTGGGTTCGCCATAGGAAGTGGATTGTTTCAACCAGTAAGAATCTCTTGGTTGTGCAGCTGGTATGTTATAACCAGGAATGCGACTTAATGTCTGCTGCTTAATATCGAGTGACACGTCATCACGACTCCAATATTGTTTCTCTTGAGCACCGTTATAGATAGAAGATGGGGTATCACCTGAATATATTTTATCACACGAGGTATAACTTGTTTGTGTTCTCATTTGGTGCTTGCTTTGAAGAACATTATTATCTCCATTCCATATTTCCCACAAGCAATCATCAAGTATGCGTGGTTCACAATTTAAACTTGGTTCTGTATATGTCGGTGGTGGAAATATCGGTTCTTTGGAATTACACACAGAAGGATCATCATTAGTCGCCGGTGTACCGAAATTATTCCATGTTTCTTCAGGCAAACATTGGTTCACAAAGTTTTTTTGCCTGTATAATGAATGGTGATGTATGGCGTTTAATTGCTCGACAGTTGACTGCATAGCATATGACTTGGCAGAAAAACGTGCAGATTTCGCTAACTGAAAAATGAACAAAAAATTTTGAAATGATTTACCTGTGGATGTGTTGTCCGAGGTTTTGTAATCCTTTTAGTTCTTTTCACACTTTTATCTGGCCCCTTTAAATGAGCCATCAAAGATTTCATCAATTCATTGTTTTGACTGATATAGTTACTAACAGCCTCACAATGTCGAATCGATGCAAGTTTATGATGAGATTGAAGATTTGATATACGTTGTTGGAAACGATAAACCTGTGCTGAAGCCATGTAAGCTTTGGAATATTCAAAATAGATTAACCAAATTAACAGTTTTAGAAGTCTGGAAATTCAGAGAATAAAAATTTCAGACAAGTCATTATGTTATAAAGAACATGAGATTTAATATGTGAAACTTACTGCTGTAGTAATGAACATACACTTCAAGTTACATGAACCAAATCTACACAGATCCGTATAATATTTAATAATTGATTACAGAATTGTTTTTAATGCTGAAAACTCTGAGCTCAACTACAACACATTCAAAACATTGGTTAATTCATTGAAATGTCGAACAAGAAAAAAGCCTAATTGGGAGGTCTGAAGTTTTTGGACCAGTAAGATTCATACTTTGAATCGCTTATAATTCCACTGACTTTTAACTGTCTTTTTTTTTATGTATAGTGTATTGTATACATGCACGTTAGTTTACCTAAAACAAAAAAATTATTGGAATGGCTAGTGACTACGTCTTCGATGTTGATTCATTCAATAGTTTGTGTTAATCTGGTCATGTGAGTAGTAATCCTTCTGCCATATTTACCGCATCTTGTCTGTCGATTAATATTTCATCCATTTATTTTAAGTCAAATTATAACCCAAATCAATCACTTAATTTATCAATAATTAATTAATGGTATCAGTATCATGATCAGTCAAGTGTGAGTATATTTATAAGCATTTCTCTGAAAGTTGTTGCTCCAGGACTGGGCTGCGTCAACACTTGAACTAAGGACATGTAGTACAGTAGTCGAACGCGTCGACAACTTCACTTATCTTGGAAGTCTGATCAACCCTAATGGGTTGGTGTCTGACGAAATCCCTGCACGGATTCAAAAAGCTCGTTTGGCTTTCGCCACCTTATGTCACATAGCGTACGCGAGACATCCGTCTATCAATGAGGGGACGAGTAAACTACGCAGTATTTCGTTCTGTCCTAATTTACGGCTGCGAAACATGGCCATTAAGAGTTTAAGATATTCGTAAGCTACTAGTATTTAACCACAGATGCCTTAGAAATATTGCTCGCATCTGCTGGGATCATTGGGTAAGTGTTATAGTCTCTCTTTCTTCTTACGGTTAATGACCCAGCTATTCCTATTGCTTAGTATTCTCGGACACCGATCCACTCGACAAGTCCCCAAATCAGAACACGGTTGAACAGGAAAAAGATTATATTCCAAATAGCAAGTCAGAAGCACAATAGGGGAAAACGTCGGTATATTTATAGTTTTTACATAAGAAGATTCCAGAGTATTCTCCGACTATCGACTAGTGCTGATTGGATAAGAATCAGCCAATCAGCGTGCACCAAAACAATCATGCATTGAGCATGCTTTAATCTAGTCTATGTCCCGCTAACAGTAAGTAAAAGTGAGATTAGACGCAGGGTATTAGGGAATGATGGTGAGTCAGTTGATGGGGTTGCAAATCTTTATCAATTGAGATGGTTGAGTCACGTGCCACGTATCTCCGAACACCGACTACCTCACGCGCAATGCTGTGACTAATGTTGGGTATGGTTGGAAGAAAGTTAGGGGTGGCCAAACCAAAACGTTTTATCAGTCCTTGAAGTTGCTAACTTCTAGTCTTAGCCATATTGGTGAATGCAGACTACTTGGTTGGGGTCCGCTTAACTATCGTAACCAATGGTTGGAGACTCTGGGTGACATGGCTCAGGATCGATCACAATGGCGTCGGTGTATACACTCTCTGTCTTCCCTTAAACTAAGAGATTAAAATCGCTTCATATCTTTCTTTCTACGAACTAATTCTTTCTTCCTGTACTATATCCTTATCGCAGTCTTCCTTTTATATATTACCACCTCTGAATTAACTACTTTTATGAATCCGGTGTCTATCTTGTTGTGTTGATGAGGTATGGCAACTTGGAACGATGCATATATGTGCCTGGTCATACGTTGTAGCTGACTGACTGACCAGCCAGAATTGTGTCGAGGAGTGTGGTGGCTAAGTTTATGTGGTATATCTATTTAGCGCGTTCTTGTACCAATGTATTTAAATAAAATTAAATATGTGCCTGGTCCTACGTTGTAGCTGACTGAAATGGTCACTGATAGTATACAGTCAAATGAATGTACAGTCGATAATAATTTATGGTACTTTGATTTGACCATTACTATCAGTGACTATTTCAATGACCTAGTTAATGGACCAGTCGAACCCTATCACTTTTCTTTGAGTACTTTATAGTAGTGAGTGAGAATGTGAATCAATCTTTAGAACAAAGTTTACAGCAGACCTCATCAGGTAGATTTTTTCATATTCAAAGTTGGTGAACAATCAAGCAAAAAGCAATATCCCTCCAGATATAGCAACACACGCTAATGATTCCGCTAGAAACCTGAATTCGAAACACTAATTAATATAAAAATCAGGAGTGTAAACTGCGAAGTGATTTTCATTTACTCAGGATATAAATACTAAAGAACATATGAAGCCGTAAGTTGGAGGCAGGCGTCAGGAGCGCGAACGGCATTTGATAACAACAGGAAAGAATGGTCCGGGACATAGTTGGGCGGAGATCCTTGGTTGGAGGCTTTTGGCCCGTGAGGTGTAGCATGAAATAGTAAAGATTAACAATCACACCACAATCACGGTAAGGGAATGGATATCTAACTGTTATCCTACAGGAGCTACAACTGATGAAATGTCTAACAGAAAAAAACCCAATCCTACATGTTTTGAAAGGTGGATTTATTATTCAGTTTTTAACAGGTTAAAAAATAAACTACAGAGAGCAAGACATAAGTTACATAAAAGCGAGTCAAAGAACTATACAATTGCATGCGTGATGCTTTTTCATACGTTTCTTAGTACATACCCTGGATTTGATTCTACTTGGTCATTTTATTTAAATATTCCTAACAGGTAACTGTATTCAGCATAACATGACTTCCATATGAGTCGCAAGTTTAAAAAAGATATTTTTACTGTTATATTCATTTTCCTGCCAATATTTAGACGTGACTAACAAGCTTATATACGTCCACCTGAGTACAAATAAACTTGGGCCACTCATGATACACTCTAAACCATTTTGTAGGAGCAGATGCAAGACTTAAAATAACATAGAATGTTCCACAACTTTGTGGTTTTTATGAGTTAAAGTCTATTCGAACTAGACTGCTTCCGCTTACCTATCATATAATTGGTCCCCTGAAACTACTGACCGAGTAAAACAAGCCGGACTTCTCAGTATGAATCTAATACCACCGAGAACCGATACATAGACATTGTTAGCGAGTAGTCTGTCGGTCTAAAAAACTTGGCAGTTCGTACACTGTCTAGCCTGAAAGCACTTTAGATGTTAAGGAAGTGTTATTGATGAGAGCTGGAAAAACTATTAGATATGAACCGGCAGCTTAGTAAGCACATTGGATGCACTTACGTTTAATAATAAAGGCAGTCGAAAACAAACAGTGATAGTTACCAACTAAGAGAACTGCATATCCGCAATGACAAAACCCAACATGAGATCTCGAATCCGTTACACATTATAACTCAAAAAGACCGCGTTTCCTTATCCAACATCTTTGTCACAAGTTTGTATAAATCGATTGCTCTCTTTGTCTTCCCTTCTTGATTCTACAGTACGGTCACATTTTTTGGAGTCGTCTAATGTGGTTAGTGTAGTCATTCTGTTGTACTAATGCAAACTGATTTGATAGCAAAATACTAGTGGCATACAGGTTTTTCACACCGAGTCATCAATTCTCGGAACCTGTTACCCGAAGCAGTGGTGTCCGCACCTTCGATTAACTCATGCAATAGAAGACTAGACACTTACAGAAGCATACTAGAAACGGAATAACATAAGCCGTGAGACTTCTACCTTTACTACACAAATCTGAATCTTAATTGAGGTTTAATTTTTTGTCTAAATTAGTGCCTTTGTTTTAGGGTGACGTAGTTGTTAAGACCAGTAGCCATCACATTATGGAACAAAGTATTGGTCGGTTGCATTATGAGAAACTATAAAACTAAATTTTAGGATCCAGTGGAGCAAAGATAAGCTAACAGACGGAATGAGTAAATGAATAGTTCAAACAAATAGTGAGAACAGGAAAACGTCTAGTGGTAACAAAAATATTGGATGATGTTAGTAGGGATGGGTTAGTAATAATAACAGAAGCTACGGCGATGTTACGAGATATGCATCAGATACAGTAGTTCCATACTGCTATCAATCAACCAGTCATTTACAACGAAGAACCTGGGACGTATGAACATTCGTTCATATTCCCATACCCTATTAGCACAGAAAGGTAAAATTCTCAAACCAAATCTTAGAATAGTAGAGGAAGTGACAGTATGAGTGGTTAGAGAATAAACTAGAGACCGTAGATACATTTCGAGAAAATACCAATTGGGGAAATAAGAAAATTACAGGAAATAAGCAGTTCATAATTTGGGAGAAGAAAAGGTTAGATTCGTGTTAGGATAGTCGGAAAAACATACCAGTAATTATCGTGTTAAGTCTATGGTGGCCTTGGACCTTAAATGTACATTTCTTATTGGTGGATGTTTATTTCACTTGTTAAATATTTTGTAAATGTTGTTTCCTATTTTATGATACGATGTGGTTTGTTTGTTTGGTATATAAATAGAGTATGTCTGAAATACAATGATTCACAACTCAGAGGCTGTGACTTGTGTTCTTGACTCAACTGGCTAAGACAGACAGCGAAGCAGGGCCAGTCAGGGCATTAGGTCGTCCACTACGTGTTTGCGTGTCCACTGTTACAGAAGCGATCGATAAATACGCTGTTTATCAAAACCTGCAGTCTCACACGTCACAACAATTCGCCTGCACCAGTGCAAACGATTTTGATCCATGTCATTCGAAGTCTCTAACCACTGGTTACGATAATCACTCAAACCCAACCAGGTAGTTTGCACTTATTAATATAGTTCATTTCAGTTGTCATTGACTTCATGGACTGTTAACATGTTTTGGGTTGGCTACCCCTAGCTTTCCTTCGGCCCGCTCCTGCACTAGAAAATATCGCTCTCTGGGGTAGGTAGTGGATGGACATACGTAACGCATGTCCTAATCACCTCATTTGATGAATTTTTTCCATCCTTACATCGTACTCCGCTTCTTATTCGGACACTGGTTACTCCCAAAACACACAAAAGATGCGTCGAAGACACTTTTGATCGAATACTAGTAATCTACGAATATCCTCTATTCTTAATGACTGTGTTTTACATTCACAAGGTAGAAAGAAGCGAACTGCTGGGCAGCAAACTTGAAGAATTATGTTCTAATATGGTATTATTACTGCTCTAATAATAGACCTAATCCTAAAATTATAGACTTATCATGATATAACTGCCTAATCTATAAGATCTTACGTGGAAGTCACATAGTCGCCTACACCAACTCACTGCATCGTAACAATTACCAATTCGTGATAGAGAACAATCTTAGGCTAGGGATGGAACAATATATTTAATATGAATACAAGATATAAGGCAACGATATATTTAATATGAATTAAAGATATAAGGTGACCACGCCTGTATAGCCGAGCCATGCCATACGATCAACTCCAATTAATTCAATTCCTTCTTCCCGCCCTCGTTATCGTTGAGTTTTTCTCCGTGTTAAATGTTGAATGTCCATTTCCCATATTGTCTCGTGTTAGGGCCCACTGTCACTACAAACTCTCTCATTGGTCGGTAGACGGATAATTCACCTACGTCACAAGTGACGCAAGCTGTCAAACACTAATCAAACCTTGTGAATCCTTGCTGAGATCTCGTCAGACACAAGGCATCAGGACGAGTGAGACTCCCAATATAGGTGAAGCGGTCAGTACGTTCAACCACTTTACTCCGTATCATTAATTCAGGGATGAAGTTAACCAATTTTGGAGCGATATTTTGCATTCGAAGTTAGAGAATCGCATCTTGAACATGTATGCGTTGTTACCTTAGATGGTCAGAAGACCAAATTTTGTCGGCATCAACTCTTGAAAGTCTTATCAGTAGAGGCATGTTTATGACAAAAATGAATAAAAATGGGAAAGCCGATAACGTTGACGAACACTACATGAAGTAACCAATTTTGATGACAGTTAATCATAAGTTGTGACACCATCATTAATGTTGGAGTAGAGAGCCTGTACAAGGTTAATGTACTTAGTTATTCCCTTCAATGGCAGACATTGCTATAGAACCTCACGATCAACAGAGTCGAACACTGGTAATAAAACTATAATTGCACATCGGGAAGTATTTCAATGTTCCAGAACCTGTCAAAGGGTGAATATTTAGTCCCTTAACTTAATGCTGTTCATTAAGGCTGCTGTAGTAATATTGTATGTGAGAGCGTCTCATGTAGCGCTCACTCGCAGCAAAAACGAATGTGACCATATTTAGATATTAGCTTTTTGATGTGGAATTTATCGATAGGCGTAATGTACAGGTACGGACAAGATATTTTTGTGTGAGTGACCAGGAGAGATAAGTGTGTTGCACACCGTTATCAAGTACCCTTATATAACAAGAACTGGAGTAGGTCGTCTTGCGTTTTATCCTCTAATTCTCTGACCGATTTTATGAGTTATCAGTGTGGTGCTCTCCACGATTTACGTTGTCAAGGCGCGCGCTTTGCTAATGGGAAGTTAAACTCTAACGTGATTTGCATTTCTCAAACTTACGCAACAAAGGTGCCATTTTTAATCCAAAGAATCCGCCCTGAGTTTTACGTTTGGTCGATTACTTTTCTTTTTGAGTTTTACCTAAGTTAATAGTTAACTGTGGTTTTGCCTCGGCTTACTTATCAATACGAAATAGGAACAATGTTGATGGTAAGTACCATTAGTTTAGTAAACCACACACAGTTATTTGAACTTTGGTCTCCTGATAACGACAGTGCATAGTTATGATCAAGATATTGCACGTATTTCTAGGAAAAATTGCATGGACTATGTCTACAAAGTTTACGGTACTCCATTATTCGTTTATCTTTCTCAAATGGCTCTTATTTTTGTTGTTTCAGAAGTTTTGAATGGATGTTGCTTGAAGATAGCAGAATACCTTAAGCAGTATGACGACATACATTTTCATTGGCGTAACAAAAACAACGTAGTCCCAAATTATCAAACATGGCTTTAGGAGTAGTTGGCGGTAGAAATGTTTATCTACGAGATGTTGCTGTTATAAGGTGCTTCACTAATACAAAATTTAAAAGCCAGCACCGTGTAAATAAGTGGTTTATTTAGGTATTCACAGTAATGAAATAAAATTCGCATCGCAAGAAATCGTAATTCGCAGACTTCAATTACAGAAATTAGCAAATGTCACCAAATAAAGTTGCGCTATTTTGTTGTATGACTTCTTCGTCGTGCATTTCCTCGAATTTCGTGCGAAATTTTTCAGCATCTCTTAGATGTCGGCAAAGTAACTGGATACTTCTCTTTCTATTTCTGTTTAATACGTGTGCGGTGGCATTTATACTTACAACGTAACTGGCGCACAACATGCAGCTGTCTGTTAATAATATTATGTTTTTGTCAACGTTCACCATTACGTGAAATGTCTTAGAATTAAAAGTATAGCAGAGTAACTTTCGTGCATGCAGTGATGAGGATAAAAAACGCACTATTTACATTCTTGGAAGCTGTAATCACAGTATGACTGGGATGTACAAGTAATACAGTGATAATCAACAAAAATGTGTGATGATGATGTAAATTGTCGGTCCCAGTTTTCTCAGTAATTACTAATACAAACACCCACATTCATATTCTTGTCCTAATATTTACGATGACTCCTTGCACCACAGCAGCTTTAATCTCGTCGTTTGCTAAATTTATGACTGTCATGATGTTGTTATTATGTTTGATTCAAGGTTGGAAGGCTCTAGTTTGAAGATCAGGTAACCTTCTCCTGGAGTCATCGGTCGCCATGAATTTGGTTATGCAAGTGCATTTGTGTACGGTGTCGAAAGATGATATGCTGCGTTCTCAGTGATAAGACTTAGTTTGGAACAACAACATAAATATTAACACCTAAAGTATAATGGGGATTTTAATAACTAAACTTACACCTTGTTACGAATCCCAGCATACGAGTAAGAAGTGAGATCTTGAAAGTACGTTGGTGCACTACATAATGACAATTTAGTTCACCAAAACTATCAAGGTAGCAGGTTGAATTAACCATATGGCTGACATTGGATTCCATGAATGTTGATTATTTGGTTTTTATATCAATTATATAGGTTCATTAAACATCTATAAAAACTGCAGAGTGTAGCGTGGTGTCGATTTGGGATTGACTATGAACACCGCTACGAAGGATAGCGTGCCAAGTAAATCAGAAGGCGAAGGTTGAACGTAACAAAATAAATCCATAAAATCTCCGAGAAGCCAAATATCAGAAGGCAATTAATGGACCAAGTCGAGATATATATTTGCTGGCGATCTCGTGGTATCGAAAGGATACCGAGATCGTGCCAGGATACAAGCTTGGTTACAGAACGTAACCGAATTCACGCGAAGTTATAATCAAAGTGCGAGAAT